TGCGGTGTCTGCCGCCCTCCCGCGGCTCCTGATTCCTGCTGAGACGCCGCCGAACGAAGACACCGGGCCCCCCGTCGATCTCGTGGACGGCACTGAGCTAGACCTCAGTATTTCGAATAAAGGTGTCGGTGGATGCGTTTATTACGGCATCTTTAGGGCGGCCTCGGTCATAGGAGGGGGGGATGTGGGAATCGAGAGCGCCCTCCTACCTGGCGCCTCGTTCCCCAGCTGCCCCGCGCGCGCCGACGGCGTAGCCTGGGCGCGCATAAGCACCGGCATCCGCCAAGATGGCTGCCAGGGCGCCTCTTGGTCTGGGCCAGTCAACCGTCGGCTCTTTCCCGCGCTGGCATGTCTGGGCACGCTACGCTGGCGCGCTGCGCGGGCCTACGTCACAACGCAGCACCATTTCCCATTGGGCGCGCGTGACATCCTCCTCTCCTACGAGCTGTGTTGCATCCGACCTTCCGCTCGTCGGCGCGGCGGATGCTCGCAAGCCTCCACGAGAGGTTGACGCGCTGCTTAGCAGGCGGCTTCTCGTTCGTGCGTTCGACTTCGGCCCTTGTGCGGGTGCCGTCGCGCCCTACGCAAGCGTACTTGCTCGGTCTTGCGGAGTTCCCTATACGGCCTGCAAGCCCGTGAGTGTCGCACTGTGCTGCATCTTGGGTTACTAAACCCGTTGTTGTTGTTATCCTGCCTCGTGCGTGGTTTCTGCGCGGGGAGTCGCTCGCTGGATTCCGTGCCGACCGGTTGTGCGCCCCGCGCGCTTGCGACCTTCGGCGTCAGCGTAGCTCTGGCCGACTGGGCTCACCCTACGTCACCTCCTGCCGCCGACGACCTTCGACGACAGTGTAGCTCTGAATTACTGGACCTGCTCTACGCCATCTACAGACGCAGACAACATCTCTCGCAAGTGTACCCCGTCCTCGGACTCCAGTGACCGTGCTTCCATCTTTCCTTTCTCTCCTATCCCCTCAGTTTGTTGTTGCTTCTTCCTCTTTTCTACACCTCTACTTCTACCCATATTTATCCCTCCTCACCCCCATCCCTTGTTAGTTCGGTGGCGGTGTCGCTCACTGAAGCAGACAATAACGCGGCTCACTTTTCTCTTCCTTTCTCTTTCTTAAGAACCACTCACGTGGTTTCTACGCCGTGCCGGAGAAATCTACGAACACGGCCGCAGCGTCTTCGCACGCAGCGGCAGTGGAGGACGTCGCATCCCTACACCGTTGCGCTTAGTAGGTAAGCCTAGTGCAAACCTATCTCCACAACCTTAGCCAATTGGTGGTAGTGATGTTTCCCGATGATTTATTCAACCACAACACCTGTAATTACAGGTATAGCCGACCTTTTAGGTTGCTGCACTCAGAAACACTCGATGTAGTCGACTTGCAACCATAGCTTGGCCCACTCGGTCAGGCTTGGATCAACCCACAAGTCTGAATGATTGATGTTCTGGCGAGCTTGAGTCCGAGTGGGTTTGGTTGAGAATAATTTTGGTGAACCCCAAGCACAAAATACTTTTCTTGAGTGCTATTTGCTTATTTTTAGCATTACTATCAGCCCGATCTGGACATAACTACTTATGCTGGCAGTAATATTCTAGATATTCAGAACTTTTCATCCAAGCATTCTAAGGTTGTAAGAACGGTATAGCCATGTCATGCCTTCAGTCTTCCCTCACCAAGTCGTGTGAGCACCAAACAAGTGCCACTTTTCATGCACAGGTTATGCGTCTTTCATATGCAAGTTATTCTCACATTGCGGTGGCCACTGTCGCTGAGCTTTCAAAGAAGCTGGTTTTCTAAAGTTAGAGCATGGTTGCAGAAAGAGAGAAAACTTTATTTGCGCATGACGCGGAGCATTCCAAATGGTCGGGCCCCTATTTCAGGGCTCCTCTGGCCCTAGCCATCATCTCTACCCATTGGACCAGCCAGCGCTGATCAGCAATGGCCTCCAGCAGTGCCTCCCATTGTTCCTCTGTGTTGTTCTTCATTGTGATGTGTACACTCCCACGTGATGTGAAGCAGAGTTGGTGTGGCCCCACACCACGGACATATATATCTGTATGTGCTGTGGGGTAGAATACATGGTTGCTTAAAGTCACAAAAAGAAATTTGTTGTAGGTATCTTTACATTCATTGCAGCATTTTGCAGACTATAAAGAAAGTGGAGAGTAGATACTGGTGTGAATGTTTTTATAGCTGCTAGTAAGCTAGGTAAGGTTTGTGCCACCGTGCAGAAAAAGAATGAGTGAGTAATAGACATAAAGCGGGCCTGACATATAAACACGCCAATAAATTTTCTGATTGCCTTTATGTTATGGCTTTCTGGTTCCTTTTAGCTGTGGCTGCTACTACGTAGGCAGGCAAGCTGCTGCTGCTAACCAGGTTACTGGAAATAAGAGATCGCTCACCAAAGAACCATCCATCTAATGTCTCTTTACATTGACGAGAGTGTAAGGGCACGTTGAAGTTCCATGAATGCGTGGTTTTGTATCGTTAAAGGACTGAGAAACATGTTTAGTGATTGAGGCTTGGCATATCGATAATAACAGGTAGCGCATGTGCGACTCCAGCCATTGATTAACTTGCACAAAGAAGAAATCGAATGCCTTAGCAGGTTATCCGTCATGTAGGGCCGCATGCATGCAGGATTGATAGGTTCGCCTATTGTATGGGCGGAACATGGGAGAGGCCTTTGTCCTGCAGTGGACGTAGTCAGGCTGATGATGATGATGATTGTATGGGCCTGAGCGAACAAGTTTTCGTGCCTTCTTTTTTTCCCCCCCATCGTGCGTCCCTACAGTAGTCAGTCGGCGTTCGTGGTGTCTCGACCTCTTTTTGGTGGCCGTGTGTGCCCGTCCTGCCTTTACAAATGAATACTTACAAATTACCTTAGCTTTCTAATGTTCTAAGTGGACTCTACTCACACATATTTCAACCCAGGAGCTTTTGTATGCCAGCTTTATATATTTGTCAGAGGCGCGAGTTACAAAAATAAAAGGGGGAGGGGTACATTTAACTTCCTGTAAACTTCTTTAACGTAAACATTTTGACAGCAATCTGTCTGGCTGGGTAGAAAAGTTTAGAAAATTGAGATTGCTCCAGCCACAGTTCAAATAGAGTCCGACGTTTCGAGACCGACTCGGTCCCTTCCTCAGGGGGTGACTGTCTTGGTCATGGAAGTGTCGTCGCGTCGTGTTCTCTCACCACGGTTCCGGCTTTCCCTTTCCACCACGTTTCGGAGACCGTGAACGTACACCGAAGGCATTGTTCCCAGCGAGCGGTTCACGTTGGCAGGCGTATGCTGAATGTGCCAAGACTCGAGCAAGAGCCTCTTTCCCAAATTCCGTTCTGTTTCAATAACAGAAGCGCCGTCTAAGTCAATTTTATGGTCGTGCTTCTCGCAGTGCTCCGCCAGAGCGCTACGTTGCACTTCCATCTTCCTGACGTCGTTCTTGTGTTGGCGCATTCTTTCCGGGAAACACTTGCTCTCGCCTATGTAGCAGGCTGTGCACCCAGAACACGACACTTTGTAGACAACGCCCGGGTGTAGCTCCCTCGGAGGTCGGTCTTTCGGCCGCGGTAGCAAGCGAGCGTAAACTTCTTTAGTAAACTTCTTTACAGTAAGTTTCTGATAAAAATATCTTGTGTGAGTCATGCACGTCAATAAAAATGTCCTTACTGGATTGAAACCGCTGGCAGCTTGTATTTGAAAGTGCACAAGATCAAATGGCGCATCGTATAGTGCCAATTATGTAAGATATTGGCGTCACAGAGTATTGAAGGCATGATCAAAATAACTAATTATATGCCAACGCTCTCAACAGTCGACTGAAGACCTGGATGGAGCTTCGAGTCTGAGAGGGTTTGGGTGAGTAATACATTTTGTTAGTCTGGTTGAGAGAAGTTTGGCGAGTCTAAGTGAGTCAAAAGCTGCAAACAATACTTTTTAACCGATTCTGAGTGAGCTCTACTTGTTTTGCTAGCCTATGCTTACAATTCAACTGTATTGCCATTCACCGGTGCAAAATATGTACCGCAATTGCTGATACAGAAAAAACGGTCTGTTCTGCCAAAGCGCTGAGATGGTAGGAATGACACGCAAGATATGAAAAAGCTTCCAGATTTTCTATAGCGGAGGCTTCATATGGAGAGTGCGTGTGGGGATGAAGGGGAATGAATTTGTCAGAACTTGTTTTGCTATTTGTTTCAGTTATTGTGGCACACATATTTGCACAGCCAGTGGCAATAAAAATGAGACACAAGTGACCGTTCATCACGTCTGCTATGTTTCTGCGTCTGTGTGTTTCTAGACGCTGTGCTCCCGAAGTTCGACCGTCAATCAACTTGCCCGAACCAATGCTCATGTAGCACCACAGTCAATGAAAAACAGACGCTAATGCAGCAAGTATAATTACTGCTGCTGCTGAGTCCATTATGCCAGTAAAGATATCGCGTTTGACGATTGCAATATTGTTTCTGCGTGCAGTAGTTGACATGTCAGAATATTGCAAAATTACTGCTGCTGTTTTTTATCATTGGGTATAGTGTAATGCTATGTGAAAGTGCTGGGGTATTTTGGATAAATTGCTAGGCCATGCATCCATTGTAATTGCTCTAAAGGTTAATTGTTTCACACTGTCAAGTATCTATGTAGTTTTAAAAAATGTAAAGCACATTTTAACAGCTAAGTGCAGTGGCAAAAGTCAGACATTACTATGAGAATCACTTCCTCGTTACACAACTTATAAAAAAATTCACATATATCCTGTGCCTTTGTGTCACATCCATTGGCAAAAAATTGTGATTTTGATGCTGCACTTAGGCAGGAAAGCTGAATTCAGGAGCAAGTTACTGTATCAAATGGTTTAATTTTGGTGTTTTCACTAGCGTTGCAGGAATGATCAAACAATGTTATAAGCAAGCAGAATAAAAGCGTGCATAATTAGGGGTGCATGTTGTATTATCTAAGCAAAATAATAACAAGAATGCAAGATCTTTATGTTTTCTTGGTCTCGCAGTAGTAATGGTAAAGTTTTTTATTTTGTCCCATCAGTCCATTAAGAACAATGAAATGTTCATTTCTTGTGGTGGGGTACATCGGTTGTTCTCCCAGTACATCCTTTCAATGCTGTACTGAGAGTGAAGTAAAATGTACATCTTCACTGATGCCCTCATGAGAAGCCCATACACCGCACTCACTGGACATGTTCGTGTTGACCTTTCATACAAAGACCATCAAACCGGGCAAGAAAGAGGGACATGGATAATTACACACACGCACATAAAATGTGCCAGGAAGCCATAATTGCGCTGGCAGTTCTGCATGCTATCAGAAGCAGCACAGACTGTAAGAAGTTGGCCTTTCTGAGACAGCAAGGGAGTTTATATACACGGCACTGCTAATGGAGAATGTTCCTGCATGCTTCCACTGGCAAGTGTCCACGCATGGCAAGCTATTGCTTTGTTGCGCTTGGCAGAACTGCTCACGCGTCTGCAGCGACGCATGCACTCTTTTAAGTGCCATGTGGCACCATGTCACCTGCATCGATGTTATGTACAGTGCAGGCAATACTTGCTGGCAGACACTAAGGTGTCTCGGCGGGGGCCACATCTCATACGGTGAGCAACTCGCACTCAGTGATGCTCTGTTCGTGTTATTTACAAGCAATGGCGCCTTTCATCAGCAAAACGGTGAAGCTGTAGGATCTTTTGTCTTGAAGACGTCTTGAGTGACTTCATGGCCTGGTCAGCCTCAAACAAGAGGTCATCTGAGATGACACCTGGAGGTGGCATGTTTGGCATCAGGTCGTGTATAGCTGGTGCCGGTGGCATCGACGACTGAGGCATGGCGGCGGGCGTAGGCACGTCAGTGGGGAGAACGGGCGGTCGTGGCTGTGGTCGCCGCTGGTAGCTGCTGTAGCCACTCGGCCTGTCCCCCTCACTTTCGTACGTACTTAATGGCGATGCGTAGTCCATGCGGTTCTTGCGACCTGCCCCATCGGTGCTTGCCTTGGATCTTCCGCTGCCCCTGGTGCTCTGCCTGGGATCACGCTTCGTGGCTGGCTTTGTCTCCTGTTGCTGTTCTTTCTCAGCCTCCATTGCACACTCGTCCTTGGGCTTTGAGGCGGGTGTCTCTGTTGCGACCAAACTGGTTCCCTTTTGCAGCTGCTCAAGTCGTTTTGCAAGACGTGGGTCTAACCGTAATGGCATCGCGCTACCATTGGCAGGTAGTGCAGCAGCTTTCCTCTGATCCGCATTGGGGACAACTTCGCTTGGCAGTGGTGTGACCTTCGGCGGTTCCACAATGAGTGGCTTGTTTTCCACTGCTGGCTGCGGTGCCTGCTGCTGTTCAAGGTGACGGGCCATTCTTGGATCGCGCCTGATGGTTGGCAACTGTGGCAGCACAGCAGGCAGGGGAAGGGGCTGCACAACCTCAGCAGAAGGCACCACTTGAAGTGCCTTTTGGCTCATATACTTGGCAAGACGAGGATCGTGCTTGAGCTTAGACTCTGGGATTGTACCACTAAGCGCAATATCATCGTACTTTGGAAGCGCCCTGAAGATTGGAGTGAGTCGGAAAGGCACATCTCCATCCTTGGATTCCACAAAAGCTACTTCAGCAGCTTTGACTACAGGTGGCGGTTTGTCTCTAAGTCTTGGATCTCGTGACAACTGTTCTGTTGATGGTTTGGCAATCTGGCTATCAGCCCTGGCCCGCCTCGGATCTCTACTTGCAGCTGGCAACGAAGAAAATGATACAGGTGTTGATGTATCTGCAAGGGATGTAGCAGCTGCAGTGGCAGTAGGCACAGGCACGCCCGAGAAAAGTTGTTTCCAAAAGTCACTTTGGGACTGACTGGGAACTTGTTGGATGTTGCTCAGCATGCTGGCAAAGTCTATTCCAGCCAAGGAAGGCAATGTGACAGCAGGCTGTGGCAACTGTTGATGGTGTGCTTGTAGAGCCGGTGCTGGGAATATTCGCTGGCACTGTGCTTTCGACTGTCTGAAAAAGGGAAATGCACCTTTGTCACCACTTGACCAACGATGCTCACATGTGCACATGCAGACCAGCTACTACACGAAAAACCTCCATTAAATTTAAACCACTGATACTGTACATAAGGAATACAAGTCATTTGATTTTTTTTTTCCTACGCTATCCGAAATGGGCACATCAAGCAAAAATAACAGTGGTGAGAACACCCGCCAGATGAAGAGACAACCTATACTATGATTTACGAAGCCACACAATATAGGTGGCTCAGGTCAGGCTGTGTGAACTCCAGAACTCTACAAGACACAAAAGATGCTTCAACAGTGCAGCTGTGAGTTACTCATTCACAGACCGAAATTTCGAAAAGGACTAAAAGAGATTAAAATTCTAAGATTGCCAAGCTTATTGTGAATAAATACATCAATTATGCAACTCTGGAAAATAAACATGTAAAGATGGCCAGACTAAGATGATTAGGTGCCTCAAGCTTCACCCAGTGAGCTAATATTAAAAGCCATATGGAGATCCAGCTGCTGATGCAGTCACTGATCAAATAAGGAAACATATACCGAAGTGCTCCGCTACAATGTTTTTGGATGCTACGATTTTCTCGCTGCTGTGTAATTTTTAGTGAGTCCCATTAGTTCGACTTCATAGAATCTAATGCACTGGGAGCCCTGCCGATAAGTTGCAACTGTGGACTTTCTCCCATAAGAGACATAGCAAAATGGCACTTTGAGCTGGCCTAGCTTGACTAGGGATGAACATCACAATCTAGTAGAAGCCTCACCCGTGACATGATTCATTTTCCTGCCAACATTAAATGTGTCCTTCAACATCCATAAGTGGCTCTAAAATTAGTTTTGGCATCTGCAGTTAGCAAAAATGAGGCGGCCTTCGAGATGTGTTCCTGTTGCCAAGAAAGGTGTCGTGTGGGAATGTACTCATTACCATCGTTATTAGTGGATGTGTCCAAGCTTCTCGCGGTCTTCTCACACAGGTATACTGCAGCTACTCGGTTCTTTCATGCCTCCAACTGTTGGTGCTCACATTGGTTACGTTTCCGAGTACGACTCCACCTTCAAATGTGCAGTTTTAACGGCCAACGAAATTGTGGCCGAGTAGGCTGATGCGTGCGCCATTGATGGTAGAGTTTATGAGGAAGTGGGCAGGGGTTGTATTCTTGGACGATCACATTGAGATTTTCACACAGCGGTCTGGCACTGTCCCAACTGAGCTACGCCGATGGGCCAAAAACATTACAGTAAATTCCGAGTAAATGGAACTAGAAGGGACCGGAAAAATATGTTCCATTTAATAGGAGTTCAGTTTACTGAGAAGGTGAACATGGGTGCAAAATGCAAGCCCAAAACCAAGCATTGCAGAGGCAACAGTCTTGTTTAAGCAGTAGTTCAGTTTAACAGACTTCCGTTTACTGAGAGTCTACAGTATGCCTCGCGGCCCTTGGACACAATGGCGCTGATGAGGCATTTGTGCTAGTGCCAAATAGTTTTACACATGCTTTTATTATCAAAACCTTTTGTCACCCATTTTTATTATCCATATCACGCCACTGTCTTGATTTTAATAGTTATGTTTTTACCCGCCTTAGCGCGAAGAATTTCAAGGCCCCTATACAGCCACGCACTATATCATTGTCCATATCTCTAGTCACTGAAATGGCGCTCTTTGGCCATCAATTGGCCCTTGCACCATTAAGCCCTACACATGATCATCACTCTACTGTACAGTAGACTCTGACAGGTTTGGCTGAGAGTCTACTGTAGTAGTATTGGTAAGAGGTGTTGATGCGATAACCTTGCATTATTGGTAAAGTGTGTTGAGCGATGACCTTGCAAAAGCGGCTGCTTGAGCATACCACTGCAGGATGCTGTAGTCAATGTCCTCATCAACAACTAAGGCCATTAGACTTATTGAGAAGGTATGTACACACAAGCAATGATGACAAAAGCCACATGGCACTGCAGCTAAACAAAAAAGGGGCAAGAAAAATAACCGAGCAGCAATGTACTGTTTCTTCAAGTGTAAGCATGAAAATAAAACTGCACAGTTCACCATTACTTTTATTTTTTCATTTCTCGGTTTTCCTGTTTCCAGGCGCACCCAGTCTCTTGACAAACATATCAGCAGGATTCGCTCCCCCTCGAGATCCAGTATCACTGAGATTCTACTGTGCATGTATTACTCATATTAAAGGTCAGAAGTAGTACCAATGCCAGCTATAGTGGTTCATGCAGTGGAGTATTAGTGAGCGACTATGCAACTATTTGGTAGACATGGAAGCAAGAAAGTTCAACAAAGATACCGTGCAAGTAAGTTTAGACATTACAAGCTTGCATCAATGTAGAAAACATGGCAGGTACTCACTCCCTGCTGGAGTTTCTTCAAGACTGCTCGGAGCGGCTGGTCATCATCGTAATCCTCGTCGTCATCGCTGCTCTCGCTGTTGCCTAGACAAACAATGTTCTTTGGCTCAGGTTTGGCTACCACAGGACTTTCTGTCTTGTCAGAGGCCACTGCATGAGTTGTGCTGCTAGAAGTTGGTGACTCAGCAGCTGCTGTTATCTCGGCTGCACGCTGCTGCTGCTGGATTCTCATGAAGAGCTCTCTTTGTCTGCGTGGCAGGTTTGGAGGGAGGACCTTCTTTTCGTTGACAGCGTGAAGCGAGTCATCACTAGTGTCCTGTTCCAAGGTCTGTGCAGGACGCTGAGGCGACTGATGAGGTTCCTCTGAACTTGCATCAGCCGAGGGAGTCTTTGTTGGCTCTGGACCCTAGAAGCGAACATAGTTAGATCAGGGTTCGCGCACTATGTCTTTCCATAATGTAATCACACTGGTATAATAGTTTGATCCGATCACTACACGTTATTTAAATTGTTCCTAAATAGTTGGTTGTGCATCAGACGCGTTATTCGAAAGTCGTAGGTTCGGTCCCTGCCAGCAGCAAATTATATCTTTGTCCACTTTTGTGTCTTCACATTTATCCTAATAGCTACTAATGACATCCCTTATACTTTCTTCACATCATTGTCTATTACTTCTCAATAATACATGAGAGTAAGATATTTAAAGAGACATAAAGTATAATAATTTATGTCAGAGTGAAAGCTCACAGTATGATGTCTAAAACAACAATATTATCAACAGCAGTGCCCTACTTAATGAGAAATTAAGGTAAATGCACGAGAACACATGCGCTGCAGTAGGACACAGTAAAACCTCGTTATAATGAAGTGGGATATAATTAACTAATGAATATAACGAAGCAATTGTAATTCCCCTTGAAATTCTAATAGATGCACATGTATTTAAAACCTCATTTTAACGAAGCAAAAATTTCCTTAAAAGGGTATAGTGAACCATTCTTCGTTCAATGAGCACTTACTGATCATTTTAATATATGTCAATTCAAAACTCGTGCCTTGCGCTCCCCGGAAGCCGCCTGCCAGCACGCGTGTGATAGCGAGTCTCCTGCCTCCTTTTTTCTCAGGAACTAATAGACATGCACCCGCAGCAAGTCGCGCGAGCGCGCACATAAGCCGGCCTCTTCCTATTTTGTAGAATCGTTGACCTGCCCGCGCATCTGATGCTCCTCCTCCCCTTCTGCTCCGTGCCGGGGCCTCTCAAGCGGCCGGGGCGGCGGAGATTGTGGCTTTCTTCCTTGTCGTTCGCTGTAGAAGAGCTACACCATCTCTATCAGTTTCTGCCGCTGGACACGAGATGGATAACGGCAGCGGCAAACGCAAGTGCAAAAATATAACAATCGAGCAGAAGTCAGCAATGTTAAAAGCCGCCGAGTCTGGCGTCAAGAAGAAAAAAAAAAGTTGCCAACGATTTCGGCGATGTTGCCAGTGGGTGCCACAGGCCCAGACGTCGTGGGACGCTCTTCATGACACTGGCGTTGTGCCTGACTGCGACACCTTTTGCATGTACGTCGGTGCCGATGCTGACGCGGTGACAACCGAAGAGTTGTCTGATACAGATATTTTGTCTGTAGTGACGGGCCTGTATGACGACAGTGACGAATGTGACGACACCCCGGAGCCTATTGGTGAACCCGACGTACTGGCGCCCACGCAAGCGCTGGATACAACAAACCTGCTGTGTCACTTCTTTGGTGCTTACGGTGATGGCGAGGATGGACTTAAAATAGCTGCTGCAGCTGAAATGCAGTCATCAGCGTTTGGAAGAGCTGGCAATAGTCTATTAAAGACTATTTTGCTTCGAAGTGATCTGCCAGCCGGTGTGCTTATTTGGCGGAAATACAGTGCATTGTTCTTTATTATTTTGCTATTTTTTCCTTCTGACGGCCGTTTTTCTCTGTGCGGCAGGCTGCTGTGATACTTGTTTGTGAGTACATTCTCTCTTCCTGGCTAATTGTCGGTAAAGATGGATATTGGCTATAACGAACCAGTGGTTATAATGAACTAATGGTTATAACAAAATAATTACTTCTTTTTCAACTTCGTTACAATGAGGTTTGACTGTATTCGCAAAATGATCCAGATGACGTCGGAGTTACAGCCTATGGGGGAATGGCACGAGTGATTCAAAAGTTCCCCCCGGTTAAAGTGGACAGGTTGTGCCATCTAGCAGGGCCCAGTTGAACCAAATACGTCTGCCATCTTGGAAGCCATGATAGGAAATTGTTCAATAGCCGTCGTTGTGCGAGTGGCTCCCGCTACTTTCATTTTGCTGCTACTAGTGTCAATGGCTGCGCAGCAAATCCAGGCAACGTTGCGCACGGCAACAATGACACGAGAAGTTTTACTTGAAGCAGGTAAATTGAGGTGCACTAACCCGATGCGGACCACTAAAAGGTGAATTTATTTCAAAACAAGCACTTCCTTTGGGCAAAAGCAACACTACAATGTTTCGGGACCGCTATTTCAACAATCAACGTCGACTTAATAGTTTCTTTTACAGTCCCTTTAAGAGGTGGCGTTGAAAAAAAACTTTTTGTTTGTTGACATAGAGCAATTAAACTTAGCATGCATTCTCATAAGTGTCTTGAATAGGGAATTATGCAGTTTCATCGTGATACCTTGAGTAGTTCTCAAGTTACATCATGCTACGTGGTTCGACTTATATGACCTGCTCGTGGGAAGCCTAGCGCTGTAACAAAACATGCCAAGAAGCTGCAAATGGTGTTGATCTTTGGTCAAAAGAAGACTACTGGGTATGACAATTTCAGAATTTTTTTATGACTTTTTTTTATAGAGATCATCATGGCTGCCTACACACATTGTCAGAAACAGTGTCATGTACAAGTCATATTCTAGAAAAAAAAAAACTGAGCCATAAACAAGAATTCTAAGATTGTCAGACCCTCAAGAAATGTCTTGGGATTCAGAAAAAAAAAAACTGCATCGGAATCGTCAGTCACTTCCCGTGCTGCACTTCCCACGAACAATGCACAATGTCCAAGACACACTTGTGAGAAAAAGCCTGTCAAATTTTCAACAGGCTTTTTTCGATGAACTTTCCTGTTTCTTGTTGGATATTGATGAAAATTGTCACAGGCACTAAGAATGACCTCATAGTGCTTCCATAAAAATTTTGAGGCGATACCACAAATACTTTACGAGAGACAAATTATTTCTTCATTGAACCTCGTAAAGGGGCTGAGCACAATGTCAAAAAAAAAAAAAAACAGTATTGAGAAAACTTCATTAAAAGTTTCAACTTTTCTTTACATTTCTAAAGCACCTAAAAATTGCGATCTCAGGTTGTCTTGTGATACAGTTCAGCCCACTTATAACGAACCGTGAGCCTGACGCAGCATCCGTTTCGCTGTATCCCGAAAATCGTAGTAAACTGAAACACAGCTTTTAAAAAAGTTGCGAGTGAAAACACGAACTGTTTTTGTCCCCCCGAAATTCGTGATACACGTCTTTCAAAAAGCAGAAGCGATAAGGGCGGTCTCTAGTTCATTTCAAACGGCAGCGTGCTTGTTCACCAAGGCCCGTGGCATAAGCCGCACGAGGAACTGGCTCCAAAGTTTCGTCATTCTCGCAATCTGATTCCTCAATATCGCTCTTGCTACATACTTAATTCACAATGCCCTAATCCGTGCACGGTTCCGCGGTGTCAGCATCATCATCGGCCGTAATGAAACTATTGCAACAAATGTCCCATTCGCTCTCCCAGATCGGAGTCGATGGCACGCTGCCACAAATTGCCGTTGCAGTTGTTCTGTTCGGAAGCTTCAGGCTCGGCATCTGGTCCGACGTCGACGACGAAGTCAGCCTCACGAAAACAGTTTCTGGGAGATGATATAGATCTCCAACCAAAAGTTTTGAAGAAACCCGACGTTTCGGAACTTACTTGGTTCCTTCCTCAGGGGTGACTGCGGAGGCTACGTAGTATCGGCGTCTTCAAAGCACTCGCAAGGTGGCTAATGACTTCCCCCCCTCTCTTCTGGTTTTGCCATGGAGCGCAGTCCGTGTGTGTGCACTGGGGAAAGCGTTCCGAGAAAGCGATTCATGTTATGGGCTGTTCTCTGTATGCGCCACGGCTCGAGTAACAACCTCCTTCTCCAGTTCGGCTCGCTTTCGAGGATGGCCGTCGCTTCGAAATTTATCTGGTGATCCAATGTCTCAGCATGTTCGGTGACCTGCGCTGCGCCCTTTGCAGAACTTCCGCACATCGTTGGCATGTTGCTTCAGTCGTTCCAGTACGTTTTTTGTCTCGCCGATATACGACGCGGGGCACTCAGCGCACGAAATTTTGTAAACGACACCGAGGCTCCTGTCCATTGTTAGGCTGGTCTTTTGGGCAAGGGAGGAGGCAGCCCAGCGTACACAAAGGACACGTGCGCGATGCGAACCCCTTCTTTCTTGAAGATCCGCGCCAACATCTCGCTGCTTTTCTGAACGTACGGAACCGGTACGCGTTTCGAGGGGGGGGGGGGGGGGGGGGCTGCCAATTAAGGTTATGATTGGGGTTTTCGTATCCTCTGTTGCTCTGCGTGGCGGGTGGCGGCTTGAATGAAGTTTTTTGTGTATCCGTTTTTTCTGAGGTCAGCAATAACGCAGGCCTCTTCTTTCTTTCGCTCTGTGTCATTAGAGCATAAGTTCCTGGCTCTCTCGAGTAGCATGGTCACAACCGAGGCCTTGTGGCAGGCGAGGTGAGAAGAATCGAATTGAAGGTAGCGGCCAGTGTGCGTTGGCTTCCTATGAACGGAGAACTCCAGGCCGTTGCACTTTCTTGCCACCTGGACGTCAAGAAAGTGCAGGCAGTGGTCGCTTTCACACTGCTGGTCGTGAATTGTATGGCTGGGTGCACGGAATTCAGGTGTTGCCTGAAGTTTTAAACTTCAGTCGTCTTTAATGAAGCAAAAACAATCATCCATATAACGCAGAAAAAGCTTGGGTCGCGGAGAGAAGCAGCTGAGTGCTTTCTATTCTATGTACTCTATGGTCAGGTTTGCCATCGTGACGGAGATGGAAGCTCCCATCGCGGTTCCACTGTTCTGCCTGAAAATAGTTCCTTTGTAGGAGAAGTACGTCCTGGAGAGGCAGAACTCCAGTAGACGACAGGGCTCGTCAACTGCCTAAGGAGTCCTTTCACTGAGGCTTGCGTCCTCCTCAAGCGCAGAACGGGCAGCGGAGACAGCTAAGGGAACCTGCACGTTGGTGAACAATGAAACGACGTCAAATGAGATCATGCTCTCGTCATCACCGATGCTCACATCTGACGCTAGCTGCACGAAGTGGCTGGCCGCAACGAACATGAGTTGGTGTCTTTTGGGTTAGTGGGGCGAAGATTTGGTGTAGAAAATTTGAAAGGGCTCGGCATGGGGAGGAAGTGAAGTCTACAGTCGGTCGGAGGGGGACGTCAGGCTTGTGAATATTTGGTAGTCTATAAAAACTCGGTGCGGATTTGTTACGGCAGATTAGTCGCAAGTTAAGTGTTCTGAGATCCGGGTAATGCCTGAAAATTTCTACGAGTAGCTTGTTTAGCTGTGTCTGGGTTTGCTGTTTAGCAACAGTTTCGCATACATATAGCCGTCAGCGCCGCCCACGAAATAGTCACCATTTCCACAGCTGAATACTGGAACGCCAGAAGCGGCAAGTTGACTGCCAGGTGGTCAATAGCCATGAGCATGCACTCTGCAACACGGCACCTAACTCACGGATTACGCTCAAGCCAAGTGGTCACATTTTCGACGTTTTGTTGAGCAGCAGGAAAAAGCGTGCAAGTCCTCCCATCTGCCATCATGACTACACATGCACACCAAGAGCGAGCACATACCAGAACCAGAACACGCGACGCACACGCGACGCATACCAGAACACGCGACGCACATACCAGAACGCGTGGAACATCTCTGGGCCCGTTCCTAGTCAGAAAACGAAACTAATTCGAGCCTAGCGTGGCTGGCGTCGCGGAGCGGTGGACACAGGTGAAGGGGTTGTGGTCAAGAGAGGAGAACAGATTTGCGAGAGAAGGGCAAAGAGTTGTGATAGAGTGACGAGGGGAGGATACGGCGGGAGGGGGACCTTGAAAACCAAAACACGTGGGAAGCAGGCAGGTTGGGTAGCTTGCTTGAAAGGTCCACGAGATGCACAACTCGCGCGTAAGAAAACTTAAAAGACTGCCCGCGAGCGCAGAAGTCAAAGCACGGCGGCCTGGATCAGCGCACGCAGCGGTGTTCAAAGAATCGGCGGCCATGGTCAAAAAATCGTTTTGTTGCGCCGGCAGGTTTGCGTAGCCCCACTGACTTCGAATATTTCACGATTTGTTTCGCACAAACGAACAGCCGTTTTCGCACTTCCGCACTCGTGCGAAGAGCATGCTGAGTTGAGTGCAAAGTGAGTGAGAACAGGTCATAAACACGAAACGAATCGCGAATTATCAAAGTCGGTTGGGTAGCGTACGCGCGTGCACTAAACGCAGACGATCGGATACAGTCGGTAGCCTGATGATGTTGGCAAATGGTCTGGTCGCTCCAGGCCAGCTACGCCAACAACAGTACCAGCGATCAAAAACAGGGGAGATGGCGAACCGCTCTTCGAAAGATCAGTGGCAGTGTGAAAACACGAGCCTCGTCTGGCGATGCGGGGTGCTCAGAGTAGCGGGGGAACAAAGGACGGAGGGGTGCGTAACAAAAAGCAGTAGGGGAGAGGGGCGCGGAAGCAGGGGCGCCGTTTAACAATGAGAATGTATGGGCACCTCGCTGATGCCTGATCAGTGGTCTAAAGAGGTTTTCCGGGAAGTCAGCAGAGTGCCGATCCCGTTGGCTGTAACCGATCGGCGGCGCTCGGAAACGTTCGTTGTAAGTGCGATTTTGTGCCAGTTGAACCAATGTATATTTTCATGGTCACGCGGATATTGTTCGTTCTAACATTTTAAATGGGGCCCGTTATATGTGGGCTCGACTATATAAGACTTCTCAGGCATGTGGTCTCTGCCCAGTGTGTCTTTCATTAATGTAATTAAATACTTGATTACAATTAATCACATAAAATTTTTTTATATACAAAGAGGTTTATTGCATAAAAAATGGCTCACACAATGAGAGCCTATGCTTTCTTTCTCAAATTACAGTTATGGGAAGGAGGCAGGCATATAAAAATTCATGCCCCTGCCTCATGCAATATCTTTTGACACTCAAACCGTGAAACGCATCATCATACGGCTGGTCGCGGAAATGCTAATCTATGAGGCTTTCATTATCTCAGAACATTCATAGGCACTCGTGGCGATACCAAGCACATCTAAATCGCATTACAAAAGCTTATTGACAACACTTCATATGACCGTGGAGTGCGTGGCCGCGTGGACAGTGCAGCCGGCACGTGATGCACTTGGCGGCAGCGTTCGGTGACGATGCGCGAAATGTGTAGCTACGATGACGAAATATCGACCCACACTGCGCTTGGTATCGCATTTTGGAGTTATGACGCGCGAAACTGCTAGCCGCTGTTCCGAGAAATCCCTGGCAGCAGAGGAGGAGGGGGGGGTGGTGGCGAGCTCGACTGTGTGGTCTGCTGCTGATGCGTGAAATGCCCATGCGCGGTTCCGAGGAGCTAGCGAGTGATGTGCTTCATTGCTTGCGAAGAAGCTCGTCGCCACAAGTGCGCTAGCACGTCGTTCCTGCCTGCATGTCTCGCTGTCAGCTGATTAGGGCTAAATACGACTCCGATGACACGTCGGGCTCGTAGACCGCGTGCCTGCTCATAGCAGCTCAGGCTGATCGCGCATCCGCTTACGGCTCCTAACTAGTGTAATTATATCCTAAGTGATCATCGAGCCGTCAACATGTCACGAAGCAGCAATTTTCGAGAGCCATGTCCTCGCCACGCACATGCAGCAGACGACGATCTCCCAAAGCGAGCATCAGGCCAATGGCGAGGCGAGCTAAGGCAACATGGCGGCCACAGCCAATCAGGGCCTCGAAATGACCTTCAAACATTTGTTTTTTGTGCGCTTGATTTTAAAGGGAGGAGCCAGCTGAGGCGGGAAATTTAAACACGGAGAAATGCTTTTTCTGATGAGTCCAAGAAGCTGGCTTCCAGTCGCGCCATCGCGAAGCTATAATTTTCATGAAAATCGCTATTTTCTCACGATTTACAGAAAAAACTTTCGCAACCTAGGAGGATGAAATAAATTTTCCAAAGCACTTCTGCATGGTTTTCAGTGTAGATGTTTTAGAATCAGATAGAAAAAGGGTTTCAGAAACTGAAAACTTGATTTTTAAAAAATCGATTTTTTTGCTATTTTTCGTGATACCAAAGCCACGTCCCCCTAAAATTTCCCCTGCTTGGTCGGCTTTCTTAACACGCGTCTCCTTAATTCTAGAACATTCTAATTATAGCGAAGTGGCAATTTCAAGAAGACGCATGCAATGCATGTACTTAATTTGCAGTGACAAGAAAGGTCGTTATTGCTAGGCAAAGAAATGTAGCAGTATATTCTGCATCTAGCATGCCTCAGTGCCACAGGAAGGGGGCAGGGGACGAGGGATATTTGAACCAACAGCAGTATGGGTCATGTGTTGACCAAGCAACGTGGAGCGATTGTACTTGCCTGGCTGTGTGGCGGTGAGGGTGAGCTGAGCAAGTTGAGGCCTGGTATAGATTGGGGCCCAGTATGGTGTGGTGAAGGCTGGTGCGGCGGACTCATTGGATGATCCTGACTTGAGTCATAGAATATCCCACGTGGAGACATAGCACCATCGGGAACAAAGCCATGACCTAGGTTGGTATAATTTATCAGTTATAATAGCTGTTAGAGTTAAATGTGCTAAAACCATCATATGATTGTGAGAGATGTAGTGGACAGCCGCAACTACCTTCACAGGAAGTATTCGTTCATAGCGAATACTTTAAAATTTTTAATAATTTAAATTTGAGACGAAGCGAATTCGAATATGTCACTATTCGTTCAAGTATTCGAAGCATTCAAATATTTGCACAAGCCTAGCTCTCGTGCATTTACCTTAACTTCTAGGTCAGTAGGACACTGCTGTTGATAATATTGTCGTTTTAGACGTCATACATTGAGCTTTCACTCTCACGTAAATTTTTATTTGACTTCAGTGTAATGTAAAAGGGACACTAAAGTGGAACAATAAATCCATTTAGACTAACAAATTACACTTTGAAAACAGCAATGTCTTCCTATTTCCCTGCCATCTGAATATATGAGAGGTTAATGTCTAAAGCATCATTCTCTAGTTTTCTGCCGTAATCTCCAACGCGACATCGTGGCCTCCAAAAAGTTTTTTTATTAATTTGCCCCCCTCCCGTGGCAGAATGAAGTTTCCTGAAATTGGGAATGTTAAGTCTCTGGCTATTCCAGAAAACAGTCTAAACTTTTACCTATTAGGGACTACCGGGGCTCCAACAGGTACAGTCAAAATTTATTGTGTCTTGGCGGTAGGAGACAGAGCAAGGTGACTTCACCAACTGTATTTTATTGTACTAATTTCTCGCAGTGAATTGTGGTGTTTTTGATAGAGCTGTGCAAATAGAAAATTTTTTGGGTGCGAAATCGAATATCGAAATGTGAGTGCCAATTGAATAGAATATTCCTGAATATTTCCGGAAGGTTTCTCGAATACTTCGAAGCGAAATTGCCACAAAAAATGTCAAGAGGATTAGTTGAGAATATTTTTATTGAGATAGCAAATGAAAGTGTTTCTGTTCACTGGGTTGACGAAGTACTGGTGGGGTGGTGTTTCATAGTGTCTTATCAAGAATGAGGCAATGCACAGGCCATTACATATTTATGTACATGACTTGATGCAGCCAAAGCGTTGCCCAAAACACTTTACACGCGAAAAGCCAAGATGCTGTTTCTCCAGCCTCTTCTTTTCTTTCAACCTATGTGGAAGCCCAACTGATGTGGGGAACAAGGGTGTGCTCCCTTCAAGTCTGGAGTTGCAAATCTGCCTCGCAGATGTCAATGCTATAAGAACATCTGAAATTTTGGATGCTAAAAATCTTCGGTGTACAGTCGAATTCCGCTACAACGAACGCCACTTCAACGAAATTTCCGCTACAACGAAACATTCACAATTGAAAAATTGAATTGCTGCACAAACTTGAAGAAAAAAAACAAGAGAGACAGGAAAGAGTGCAGTACTCTTCCTGTCTCTCTTGTTTTTTTTCTTCAAGTTTGTGCAGCAATTCAATTTTTCAAGTATGAACCAACTAGTCTGCAAAAAAGTATTGCTTCATTCACAATTTCCTGTCAATCGTCCATAGGAGTCAATGCATTAATATTGTCACCACAACGAACACTTTTTTTTCGATCGTCCTGCTTCAACGAAATTTTACGATGCAATTCCAGGCTCAGATACAGGCAGTAAACCAGGCTATGCAGTAAACCCAATCTTTAATATTTCAATGCATTTCCAGAGCCTGAAAATGCATCAACGAAGTCTAGAACACGCGTTGGCACCACCAGAAACCGCTGCTATAACACCGCTGTTCAGCAAGCATGGGGGCCGCCATTGCTCGATAGCGATGGCAATGAGGACTGCCCTGCTTTTGTTTTGCCGCTGGCTTACTTTTGAGCCGTAGACGATCGGAAGCTGAAGCTCAGTCGCTAAGTTCATGGTTGCCTACTCGCAGGCTCTGGGTACAACCGCAGCACGATACCTTTTCCGATTCTTCTCGTTATGTTCGCACTTGGCCAGTGTGGTAACTAATTAGAGCGGCTGTTCGTCCGCGTTATCAACAAAATCAGCTAGCCTCAAGTTATGGATGATAAGAATGGCAGAGAATAATGCAAACGTTGCCGCTCTACAATACCCAGGCTCCATCTCGGCGTTGTAGGATACTTTTGACGGCAGACAGTTGCTGGTGTTAACGTGTTAATGCAACTGTTTGGTTCCTTCACGAAAGCGGTTTTAGGCGATGTTTCAGCATGCTTTTCACCATGGCCTCGCTATGCATGGGTGAGAATCAGGTCAGTGAAGCTGCTGGGAAAGAATAGGAAGCAGCGGACTTTTTTGAATTTTGAGAATAAACGTTCCTTTGTTTTGCTAGCTCAGCTCAGATATATTTTTTTCGATTTCACTACAACGAAATTTTTTTCGCGCCTCGTCAGTTTCGTTGTAGCGGGGTTTGACTGTACAATTTTTCGGACTTTCCTGCCTTAATTTCAGATCCAAAACAAGCATAACTGAGCCCCTACCTCTGCCACATCTATCATCTCTGAGCTGGAATCAGTGTTTTTTTGAGTCAATACGTTTGTGACATAGCGAAGCCTCAAAGGCAGCTTTGCCGCAATACTAGAGCATGATGAGATGAAGCAGATTTAAAATCTGAAGGTGTCACTTCCAATCAGACATTGACCGTATTTGTTTGTGGGAAGTTCGAAAAGTAAAATTCCAGTGTGAATCGAATCGCATACACTCTTAGAAAAATATTCGGACTTTCAAATACTTGCACACCCCTAGTTTTTGGCATCATTAAAGAGTGTTGTGAAAGAATAAGAAAAATGGTTTTTCTTATTTCAATGTCCTCCAAGAGCACGATAAAAGCTCCAAAATATTTTAAAAAGTAGAATAACACTGAAGTAAATGTGAGAATGAGCTTCTGTTTTGATTAATTTATATTACATTCCTAGCATTAGTGCTATGAGAATTCAATTCTGAAGTGATAGCAAAGGCACCTACCACTGCTGCCCTGGTCTTGCTGAGGTGGTGAGGCTATGCTTGGTGAAGCAAAGCCGCTTATCTTGCCTTGAGGCAAGAGACGCATGGGACCGCCTGGTCCCATGGGGCCCGGTGGCCCACCAAAGCTGTCCTCAATACAGTGCACCGGCGATGGGCCACCCATCTGTGGTGGACTGGTGCCAGGCGGTGGCATAGAGCCACGTACGGGGCTTTGAGACAGGGAATCTACGTAGAATAAAGGCCTGCATAGGCACAGAGAGAGACATCAATGTTTCCTTCTCGGCAATGACGAAAGCAACAGAGGAACCCAGCCACAGTAATAAGATTCTAGCTAACCTTAATTATGCATGAGCTTATTCTAAAAGACGAGGCGTGCGAACACGTACACAGGAAAGACGACAGGACACCACTAATGACTGGCTTCTTGAGTCCGTGTTTACACTTTAGATTGTATACTTACTAATTCAGCTCTCTGTTATTCCAAGCATGAACTGTGCATAAGAAATTCATATCATAAATTAGATTACCTAAATTCATAGAAAATTGATTATTTCTCGTCACTGAGTTGGATGTTTCCATACAGACGTACTGTTACATTTCTGCTAAAGTTTGTCGAAAAAAAAATCCTTCGTCAACTACACTTTGCATGAAAGTCAAGCTTCAATTGAACGCAGCTTTGATACAGTGAAGTGAATTGCTGATTTCACAGACTTTTGCTATGCAGTCGAACCCTTTTATAAGAGACACCAGTGTCTTTACAATAAAATAGAGGTTGATCAGCATATGTAACACCCTCCTTGTAAGACACACCTTATATATCCCTTCAGCCGCTGTGTGTACATTTGTACATATCAAATTCAGAGAAATGTTGCACACAGCACGTTTCTGAAGATGGCTTGAAACTCAGTGTGAACATTCGTACAGGCTTGCCGTGTGGACAAACAACAGCTACTTAACTTCATTGCACTGTGTATTGCTGCAGATGATCACTTTGCTGGAGACACTACAGTGTTCGACAATCGTTCAACGTGGCATGTTTCACAACCAACGTAATGTTTTTTTTTTCTTTGTTCCAAATGAGTGCAACCAAAAATCAAACTGTACATGCATTTGGGCCTAATACTTATTTTTATGCAAAGACTGAAGGTGACTATTTGCAAAATAATTAGATAGTTAATTACATGCTAATTAACAGTGATTACTCAAACTCACTGATCAACATTCCTTCATTTTCTTTCTTGAAATGTAATATTGAGTGCCTCGAAATCATGCCATGCAAATTTGAGGCATTTCCAGACATTGTGCTATAATTCACGCCCTTTTGTTGCTCAGTGTATGTCTCTTATACAAGGTTACTACTGTACTTACTCTACTGAGGTTTAATTGCATTTTTGTAAAAGAAAATGGTTCTGAAAATTGGCAGCGCATTAACACAAGCTACAAAGCCAATACCACCATAAACTAGCAAAGAGCGCCTTGCCTGTGTGGGAATCCCTGCACAGGTCCTCTTGGAGGGCTCATCATAGGTGGCCCCTGTGGGGGACCGAAAGAGGAGGGTGCGTTTGGACCGCCCCGCATGGGTGGCCCACCTCCCCCTAGAAACTGCATGCGCCACGTCTCGGCCGCCTCCTTCACGTGTCGTGGTGGTGAACCGAGCAACGAAGGCCGTTTGCCCGGCGGTGGCGGACCCCCTCCTCCATAGTCGTCAACTGGTCCCATATCGTCGTCTAGGCAGTCCGGCCGATCCATGGGCTCGGGGCCATTTGGGCCAGGCCCAGGCGGAATGTCATCGTCACCACGATTCCCGTGGTTGTCCAGATACTGCAAGCACATGTAAGGTACATTTAGTACAATATATGCTGCCACTGGGTGTGTCTAAGCCCTTAAAGGGGCCCTGGAACACTTTTTCAGGTAATTGTCTAATGGCCTCAATAAAGACCTTAATGCTTTAAAAAATCAACTTCTGGAAAAATTTTCAAATCCATAAAGTACGAGAGGAGTTACAGAAATTTTCCACATGCTTTCTCTCCCATTTCGTGATAGCGAGTGCGCCGAAAGATACCGTTTTATTTTCTCTTTTTTTTTTGAGTGCACCATTTACTTTCAGTGAGAAGAGCACATGGGCACGTAGCAGCACACCGCGGCTGCCACAGTAACTAGGGTAGTTTATGATGCTCAAATCAGACAATCGCTGTGGACTTTGAGTATATGGTGCACTAATTTGGGCATATGACATCATTTGTAGAGATAATAGGGAAAGATACTTAGCCGAGGCTGAGAATCAATTGTAAATATCAGGCCACGTTTCGCGCTATAACGTTTGGCTTGCGTGTTTTCAGGGGCCTCGACCACCAATCGGCAGCATTTCCCGACCACACTGAAAAGACATTGCCAGGTGCCTTTCAGTTCCCCTCCTTTTGGTCATTTAACACAACAGTACCAACAGCTGCAGCTCTGAGAGCTATAGCCGAGCCACTGTCTGGTGAGCACTGACCCTGTGGAGCAGCCGCCTCATGTCGTCCGTCAAGGGCTGGTGGGAAAAGCGACAGGCGGTGTCTGCATAGCACTTGGCACCCGTGTGGAAGAATTTGCAGGGGAAGTCTTGGTGCATGAAGGAGCAGTGCTCCCCACGGGCACAGTAGCCACCCAGGTAGAACTTGCACAGGTCGGCCTTGCGTGGCTGCGGCACGTCATGCGAAAATGGGCAGTCTGCCCCCTGCGCAAGCGAAAACCACTTTTATTGCAACGATTCTATAGACACTCTCAATGAGCTTTTATCGTTGCTGTCACGTTTCGTATAAAGCCCAGATCAGTGACATCACACTTCACATCGAATGTTCTACCTGCGAGTAAAAGTGTGTGAACCCTGTCATAAGTCTATCAATAAAAAGATATGAAGTAAAAAAAGCATAGACTGCTAACTTTCTGTAGATATACCTTTCTTCTTTTATAGCATAGAACACAAGCTCCACAACAAGCTTCGCAGATATTCCACTAACTTGTATTCAGTGTACACACAATGCGTAAGAAAATATATGGGCAAAACGTGTTTTACCGTATTTACTCACGTAATCCTCACACTCGCATAATTCTCACACCCCCCCACATTGCCCAACAAAAATATTTCTTTTTTTCCTCGAGTAATTATCGCATCCCCAAAAACTGCCGTAATAATGTCGTCTGCTCATTCAAACCACTGATGATGATAGAACGCGCCATCTGGCACTATCTCTTAAGCATCAAGGGTACTATTTGCACGGAAATCCAATCCAAGCCAAGCCAAAGTGGCAAGTGCGGGTTGTGGCGTGTTCTGTATTTTGTGTCAGTAATCTTGTCAAGTTATGGGGCGATACCGAAGCTACACGACTGCTTTCAAGCTGAAAGTAATAGATCATGCACTAAACAACGGCAACAGGGCCAGCGGTAGGCCCTTCAGAGTCTACGAGTTTGTGTTCGCTACTGGTGACGGCAGCTAAAAGCCACCAAGACGCGTTGGGCCTGCCGTGTGCTTAAGACTGGGATTGATGGTAAACTTTATTTCTTCAGAAGGAAACTGTGGACGATTTTGTTAAATAGCCATTAGCCCAATACTGACGTCTTACGTTTACCTTTTGAGGGCTCCTGTTGAGAGACGAATGCTACCGCTACGCCCGCAACGCCCACAAGCTTCACGTATGGTGTTCCAATTGTCGACTATTTGCTTGCACTTTTTGTACCTCAAATAAATCTTTGTTGAGGTAAGTTTTAATTAGTACTTCTCAAAGCTTGCTGTTAGTTGCTGGTGTGAGAATCCTCATTTGCGGCCACTTTGTTTTATTTTTTGCACTGTATGTTTTCGTGGAAAGTTTTCCCCGTGTAATTCTCGCACCGCCCAACTTTGCATCGGTTTTCCTCCAAAAAAAGTGCGGGGATTATGCGAGTAAATACGGTATACGTGAACTAATAAGCTGTGCAGTGCACAAACATACATTTCCCAAGCTGCACGCACCTTAACACACTTGGAGTCGAGGTAGAACTTGCATATGGAGCGCTTCGGTGGCCCGTCACCACGTTTCCCTCCAGCGCCACCGCCTCTGCCACCTGATATTGGCAGCTTTTTCTTTTTCTTCTTCTTTGGGGGCCCCTGTCTTCGACTGTCCATCATGAATGACTTTCCACGACCACGTCCGCCTCGACCGCTTGGAAAGCCACCAGCATGATGTGGTGGGGGTCCCCCCATGCCTTCCTGGTGGCCCTCAGGTCCCCCGCTACCATCGGGAGAATCGCATCCTCCTCGTGGTGACCTGAAAGTGGATCACCCACAAAATGGCTGTTACCACTGATACCAACTAAAAACATGGCAATAACATGAAGCTCCATTGTAAGAAGCCAATGCACAATTCTGCTAGAATTCAATAGTGGGCCAGTTGAAAAGTGTATTTTAGTTGTAAGTGTATTTTAGGCTTGGATGGACAGCTCTGCACTTTGATAAAATTTTGAGGCTGGCTCCGCAGCAATCCCTATTTTCGATCCCAAATGTTTATAGGTTATATTGTCTTTCCACCAGTCCTCCATTCAGATTGCTTCACGCCTACATGACTGCACATTACTTCATTTCCTACAAAAAATATGAAATCAGCATTTAAGGTAGACTGTTACATACATGAGAGACTAAATTTCTCAGTTACCTCATTTTTCAACTTACCAAACCCAACTTTTTTCAATAAGATGTTAATTGAAGGCGAAAGAAAGAGATCGGGTATCATTCTACAGAATCCATCAAAAAAGTTTGTTGTCGCACTTTCTAATGTGCATGCTAGCTGCCCACAGTAAAATCAGAAAAAATGTGATCAAGTGAGAACAGAACATAGCAGAAAAAAAAAAAGAAAAGAAAGAAAATTACAAGTGAGAAAGGTAAGGATTGCGTGCAGCCACCAAAGCATTTCTCGCAAATAGCCCCAAAGAGCTTGAAGAACAGAACAAGAACAGACTGAAAGACAGCCACATTAGACATCGATAACAATTAAAACTGCCTAGAATACATGATAAGCCTTAGGTTGTATATGCATAATTTTTGCTGGTTAGCTTGAACATACTTTGCAAAATAAAAAAATAAGCACTCTATCATAAATGCGCTTCGTGGCCATCTTTCAGCATACTATGTGCTTCGTGGTCTGTGGTGCCATCTACAGTCCAATCAAGTAGCCCAACAGCATATCCCCAAGAAAATCTGGCAAGAGCAACTGAAGCATCCCCCATTACAGAATCTCTCAGTCGCCAGCATACTCCACTTGTCGCCATTTAAATCCCACACAAACCACTAAGCGACAGTTCCCGCCAGTGAAGCCCCTCCGATACCCATGCACAGTGGCCAGCCTTTCCGCATGCAACACACTCCCACTTGGTTACAAACGTCGCTTGGGCTTACATATCACATGGGTGTATGCGCATTAGTAGGCCATCGTTTAGCATTTCCTCAAGCACCCCTCGGGAGGCGCATAAACGCTCAAATTCCAACTGGTCGTGGAGTAGAGCCATGCTAAAAAAAAGGAAAAACAAGCAGAGATGCCATCAAGGCCATACAGGCTGCATCTGGTTTTCAGCAGCCTAAGCTATAGGCAATCAAGCTTTTTGTCATTTTGTGCAGCATAAACTTTGAAGGGCATGTTATTTCTTAGATCACAACAGGCGTTCAGTGAATACTTAGGCATTGGTGTCAGCTATATTTTTTTTCTCCTCTCTTTCATACACTGCCCTGTGAGCCTATACTTGGTTTCCCAAGTAGCATTGCCAGCATTATCAATTAAAAATGGTTAAAGTAAAAAAAAAGATTAAAGTGAGAAACCTACCGCAACACACTGACTACAAATGTAGACAGGGGAATGTTTTCAAAAAACAATGCTTAACCATACTGTCACAGGGAAGCAATTGCTGAACTCTAGAGCCTGCACATGGCACAAACATGTTCAGGCAGCACAGGCATGCTCATGGGAATCGATCCCACTGGCTATCTAGCCCACGAAATTTTTTGTCAGTACCTCTAGCTTCCGTATGCTTGAGCAGTATGCTTCGTTCATGAGAAGAAACATTTTTTTATAACTAATGTAATTAGGGGCTTGACTGAAAAATGCTCAGTTGGGTAAAGCCACCATTAGTAAAACAAGCAGACAAGGTGTAATACCACGAAAACATGCTGATATTTTCAGGATACATGCGAACTTCCAAAGATCTAGGTCGCAGTACAGTGAAATTACTCCAATCTATTTGCATTTCCAATCTTCCAATCAGGTTCTAACCACACAGCTTGTACTGCACACAATGTATAGTCGTGCCCATGAACTTGGCCAGTAACGTTCCTTCTACAAATTGTAGTTTATTCGATGCACAGAGTAGATGCTGCAGTAATTAATTCATGCTGGCCCTCCAAGGAGTATATACTCACGGCATATAGCTGTCATCATAAGGACCAGGAGAACCGAAGTCTCTAGGAGGCATGGAGCTACCATGGTGAGAGTGGTGTCCTCGTGACGGCCCACCACCTGATTCGGGTGAGAACCACACGGAGTCATCCACCATGCGATCATGGTCTACGTAATGGGCCCGCTTTTGCTGCAAGGTCAAAACAATGTGCTCCATAAGTATGGGCATTGGTGGGTACACCAACTTTCTAATGAGCGAGCATTTCAGAAGCAGTCCTCGGAAGTGAAAAATGGACTGGCGCGCTAACTTACGCTGTGGCAATAAAAATGTTCGTCTTCGTCGTCATCCTAAAGTTTCGGGAAAGAATGCAAAACTGTCTTGTATAAATTGCATGCATGCCCACTACATTTAAACAACACACCCTGGAACTTACACTGTAGTACCAATCATCATCCTCCTCATCTTCCTACAAAGAGAGGGGGTCACAACATGGATATTCAGTGGCACGTTTAAGGAACGAGTGATTATTGTGCTAGCAAAAACTTACACTGCTATAACAACAATAACTGTCTTCATCATTTTCCTGCAAAAAAGGGATATGCATGCCTTGAACTACAAACAGCACATTAAGGACAACACTGCCGTAGTGCTCAAGCAACAACTTACACTGTAGTAATAGCTGTAACCATTTTCTTCATGTTCCTACAAAGAAGTACAAGTACGTTGTATGCTAAACATATTCTATGAAATACATAAGTTTAAAGCAATATTGACAGAAAAATTTGAAGGTTCCATAACGGAGACACAAACACCATCTACAAAATATCAACAGCAAATGTAGCCATGAACATAATGTTAAAGCGTACGCCATAGAACTGAACACAAAGCAGAGCACCTCACGATATCAACATCAATATGTAAACAACCAACCATCGCCTTCGTTGTGAGTTTGTGTTAGCTGCCGTGACCATTGAATGAGCGCAGTTGTTATTGCATCACTCATGTACACACATTGTCACGTGCATTATGTGTCCGTATTTTCTAGTGTCATGAGGCCCAGTTGTGTTTAAAAAAAAAATGTGGCTGATCTCTTTCTAGGAAATGGTAAAAACACAAAAGAGAAGCGTGTTTTCACAGAGGTAATTAAGCGTCTATTGTGCGTTATTTTGCCAAAAGCCCGAACGTATGAATGCTACAGCAACAAACTGCAGTCACGTGAAGAATGGCAAGCAGCAGCAGCAGCTCGAAACTTGCAGCGTGCACCTCAAGCAGAAAGCACACACAAAATGAACATACACAGCACAAGTGCGGACTAACAACTGTCACAGCTCGTTGCTTAAAGCGCACTGTATAAACAAAGTGTAAGGTGCACGAAACGAACGCACAAGTATACACAGGTCAGGCACCAACAACTGTCACAATTCTCACTTTTCGTATGCGGGCAGATAGCTTTTTTTCATAAGTTCGGCCGTGGCAGCGAGCAAATGACCTTTATGCTCTCCCGAATCATGAGTTTAACGAGCGCGCGCGCAGGAACGCTCCGTGGAGGCGACACTCTCTGGCGTGCGAGAGATGAACGACGACCTTTAGAGCGGGCCCAACGCCCTTGTCGCGCCATCTCGCTACTGATGACGAAAGTGCACTGAAGCTACGAAGCTCCAAGGACCGCCAAATGGTGTACATAAATGGCTTGCCATTAGCGCTCTTGAGTGCATGCCAAGTGTAGTGTAGTGGTTAGCGCCGCGCACTGCGGATCGAGAGGGTGCTGGTTCGATGCCCCGCAGCAGAGTCTGTGCATATAGTTTTTTTTCTTCGTTATCTATTAGCATATAATTTAGAATGTCTTATCCGTGGCAGAAATACCTCAGCGGAGCTGAGGTGGACCACGACATTAAACACTTTGGTGTTAAAAAAAAAAACTGTCTTCTTTCAAGCCTCCATGAAGCTGAAACTGTGACTGGGTGTCATAAATAATCCAAAATAATTTCCACATAATCAAAATATCCGAATAATGAATGATTATTCGGCACTTGAGCAAACAAATTTTTCAGTTGTTATGAGTTGGTTGTTGGCTATTTGTTGTGCTTATTGCACACTCAACATAGATGATAAGTGAACAGGCTAAAATAAAACAATGCTTAATACTATAATAGGAAAACATAATTGCTGAAATTTTACGTCCCGAAACCACGATATGATTATGAGAAACATTGTAGTTGAGGGCCTGGGATATTTCAACGACCTGGGGCTCTTCGATGTGCACCTAAATCTGAGCCAACTGGACATTGCCGTTTGAGCGGTACATTGAAATACAGTCACTGAAGCCAGGATTCAATCCCGCAACCTTTGGGTCAGCAGTCGAACAAGTCGAACACAATGCTTAAAACTGTGCTAATGCCTAGAAACTGCCAGTTTTTGTTAATAAACATCCACACTATTTACATAAGCATAAGTACAGACAATAATTTCCGCATTTCAATCCTTGCAATGTGCCTTTCAGCATGAAATTCTTCCTAAAATGAATTTACAGGGCCATTTTATAACTTCTTTTAAAGCATTTGTGCAAAGGATTGCAATGTGCACTTTCTAGCATGTCATGAAGGAAGTCAACATGCAAATCACGCAGATGCACTTCTTACGCAAACAACCACAGATTCCAGGAAGAGAAAGATCTGAACAAGTGTACATATTGTCACAGTCAAAGCTTTAAGTTGGAAAAATTGCTGAGTATTTTAGAAACCCGACAGCAATTCAAAGCAAAGAGCATTTTTAAGAAGCACTCGGATATCTCATAAGTGGTCAACTTACATGCCAACCCCGTGCTTTAAAATGAGGAAATAGTAAGAGAACTAAGTGAAGAGCCCCCAAATATCCTGCTGTCCTGATCACTCCTCAGAATGGAAGCCACCAGTTGATGAATCGGCCCCATTATAACGATTGCACCCTAGAAAACTTGTGCCACACTTCTCAATAATTGTAGCTTGCTAGACACAAACATGCAAGCACAGTTTGACCTGGATGGAACATGGATAAAATTTGCATGGCCATCAACACGGCTGTATCTTTATGCAAGGCATATATGTACTGTATTTTCTTGAATATGAACCACAGCTCCAATTTCACACACACACAAAAAAAAAAACACTCAAAACTTGATAAAGCAAACATGGATATAATGTATTACTGGCTATAGCAAAGTAAATGAAGAAAAGCCTTATCATAGATAATAAATTGTTGGTTGGATATAACAAAGTTATTTTTATGGGAGATGTGGCTTTGTCACAATGAGATTTGAGTGTATAATTCGTACCCCTACTTTTTAAGCACATTTTTCTGCTTTTTTTTTTTTACTATGCACGGAAAAGTACGGTATGTGGTGTGATTAAAGCATCGGTGAAGAGTCCAGTGAAATTCCTGTTCAATGATTTTTTTCTTTTTCTTCACACCATAGCTCCCCTTCTTCCCTGTCTTATTTGGATGTATGTGGTGCATGAGAACCAATACATTACTAGTTTTCTCAATATATCAAAAACTAGTCACAACCCATAAATGATGGAGCACAATAGGAGCATTCTCAGAAATAACAAGCATATAGAGATGAACACACACACATTTGTGTCAATGTGTATTATAAAAAGATGGAGCAATAGATGGAAATGACCAGTCATGTTAGAACAAGGGAAGTGCCAATGCTAGGTCACCACATATCTTGTCTTCAATGAGCCATTTGTGCACGAATAAATTCCTTTCTACATGAATAACATCATTTCAGGAAGTATCAAATTTCAGTTTCCTGACTTCAGGCTAATCCCATACCTTGACATTCTTAGCAAAGATGCATAAAATATACAGAGCAGCACTTGTGCAATATACACCGAATACGTCACACACAGTGGCATAAATACAGAAAAATCCCAAGGCAGTCACCCATACTATCATGGCAGCCATTTCCTTTTGAAAAATATAGTTTTATTTTAATCATTCAAGAATCAAGAATCAGTCGTTTCTTGAAATACAATAAAGCGAGCATGAGCCTTGATGTTAGAAAGAAAGCTATAACCTAACAGAAATAAGCAGTCAATAGTAGAAACGTACATTGGTGAATTACAGGTGCCCCTGGCATACTTCTAGTAAATATGTCGTTCGGTTAAACGATCGAGTGAAAATTGTAGCACATTAGAATACAGGTTTAGTGCAACTTCAGCTCCATTCACTGTCGTGTATGCATTTTAGGAATAACCTAGTGCTGTACTGAACCGTGATACGTAGCCTAGTGTGCTGTATTTAACTGCCAAGCAGTACCAACCTAATGCATGTACAATCAAACCTCGATATACTATAACAAAATATTGGTTATAACAAAGTAAATGAAAAATCAAAGTAAATGAAGGATAGCCTTGCAATACATACTGTGTTAGGAACATACCTTTACAACAAATTTTCTGATATAACAAACCTATGTAAGATGCAACATTTTTATAATGAAGTTTGAGCGTAGTAGGGATAGTTGGTTTATTGATTTAGAAGACATACTTCACGTAGAAGACAACTCGTTAGACACATAAAACACGAAGACATGAAGTACAGCTGTGTCCCTGTCCTATGTGTCTAACGTGTTGTCTTCCTCACGCAGTTTAAACATGTATTCAAATGTGATGTTCGAAAGCTAACTCTCAAGGGGAGACACTTGCAAGGTGTGCCCCACCACAAGGGGTGTCGAACTTCCCATTTTTACGCCACTACACTCAAACCTCATTGTAACAAAGTTGCATCTTGCACAAAAATAAGTTCGTTATATCCGAAAATTCGTTTTTCAACACAATAGCTATTGCAAGACTTTTTTATTTACTTCGTTATAACCGATATTTTGCTATAACCAGGTTCAGTTAACGAGGTTTAAGTGTAGCCAAAGATATTTGAACTCACTGTGCTCACACGCAGAAGTTTACATGCTACACCAATGTGAAGTGGTAATGTACAAATTCATGTTCACCATACACTTCAGTTCTAAAACACCTTATTTGAGATCTAAAATGATTAGCAAGCATAGGACTTGCAGAATTACCCAAAATACCATATTATATTAGCTTCTTTTACACCGTCTTTTCATTCATCTACTCCTCCTTCGGCTTTGATAACATAGACATTTGTCAAACAACAATAATAATTGAGCCAAGGAACAGAGACAATAATGCCAAAGGCCAAAAAAGAGTTCCACACTTACTGACACTCCGAGGCTTAAAAATGCACATATATATAACCCGTGAAGTGAAGGTAAGATGGCTGCCACTGTAGCTCAGTTCGCAGAGGCGTTATTCGAATGTTTGCTCCCAGCTAGCGGCAAGTTATCTTTTCTTTTTTCACACTTACCTTACAATTACTACTAATAACATCCCAACAGCCCCTATATTTTCCTTGACATCATTGTTCTCATTAATAGCATATCTAACAGTAAAAAACGAGCCCTGAAATTTCTTCTTTCCTTGAAATAGCAGGAAGGGCATGATGGAAGCTTGCGATGAAAAATCCGTAAACAGGAGTTGTGTTGAGCCGACGTTTTGACAAGTAGACAGTACTGTTCTAACCTTGAGGAAGACAAGTCTGCTTGTTGAAACGCCAATTCAACACAACCCCTGTATACGAATTTTTCAACACTTCTTTCCTTGTCAGACAACAGTCATTTGCCTACTAAGCTGATTCCACTGCCCTCACCCATTCGAAGTGCCCAGACTCAAGTGCCTGCGTCTCACATTAAAAAACAGCAAAAAAAATAGTGGCGTTATCTCTTACCTTTTGCTCAGAACTGCCAGCCTCATCCTTCTTTCGCTTTTTGCGCTTGCGTTTGCTCTAGTTTGGTGAATGCTGGGCGCAGAGCCTCCTGGGAAGGCAGTGGAGGCCCCTTAAGCAGCGGTCCTGGTGGCCCTACTGACAGCAGCATAAAAGGTGCATTAATTTCATCACAAAAGAATTATCAAATTCAGAACTGGTAACAAACTCATCTGGTAGGGGAGGAATGGTACGACAGAAAAAGAACAAGGAAAACGCTGACGAAAATCTGAAGCTGGCACATTACTTTTCCTACGATTTTGGTTGGCATTTTTTTTATCACTGAAAAAGTGTTCTTTCAAAGCAACACCTTTGTTAACTTTGTGCCGAAAAGCCTATCACTGGTACACGAAATAAAGTCGGTAAGGACTACTAAAAAACCAGTCGTAAGGACTACCAAGAGAGAGAGAGACAAACACACACAACACACACATATAAATATATAATCTTGCAGCTTGGTTAAAGTTAACAGTTCCCGAGCTTTTCTTTCTTCTAGAGTACACTTCAGTCAATCTTTAAGCTCATAAAAATTATCTAGACTTAACCAGGCACCGTTAAAATCTGACACAACAGCAAGCTGGTGCAGGAACTTCCCGCTCTACCAGTCTTATTTCTGAACTTTCCAGGTGAATGAAGCCTTCACAGAGAGGTGCGGTGTTTAGTACCCCCCCCCCCCCCCCCCAAAGGTAATTTACTATGTATTGCACACCAAACAATGCACAAGCTGTAGAAAATTAAACGGCAAGAACCAGGAGAGATAATAACAGCACGCATTCCTTTCTAGTTGTTCAGTATTCTGAGAGTGCCAGCTATTTTCACAGTTACCAATTATACTGTAGTCTGTATGGACCAGCTCATTCTGTGATTAACATCACAGACCAGACATGTTTTCGTTTCCAACTCGAGGAGCCACTTTCTAACTCTAATACTACAATGTGAAAGGGTTACATTGCAACATTATTTATTATATAACTACTTTTTATAATTTTGTCTCTAGATTCACTCAGATATTTTGTCCTTCCACTGCTGCTGTATAGGTGACCAGAGCTTAATTAGGCCAGGCAAACGCAGCTTTTTCTATTTTTGCACTGACGAATGCACTGCACTGTCTACAGCAAAAATACAGTTTGAGTGATTGATCGAAGTTCATTAGCGTGCCATCTGATAATGCTGCCATGCACTTTTTGTTCAGGATCTGATCATTTGCAGATGCTGGTTCAACAATGAACAGAACGCTTATATACCGCGGCGTGCGCCTGCGAGTATATGCCAGGCAGCTTGGCACCTGGCGTGGCATCGCCAGCGTGACGCAACAAAACGAACGCCGGCACGCCAGGTCACGTTGAAGTGTTTTGGGGCCTTGAATGTGGCACATAGTCATGTTCTTACATAACATGCATTTCATGATTACCACGTTTGCACGAGTCGCATACCTTCGCCATCCATTCACGTGACGTAATACCATATTTGGCATATGTGAAGCTAGCGAAACAACCGCGAGCGCATCATGAGTGTGGCATGTAGTTTTGTTGTTACACGACACGCATGTCATGATTATCATGTTTGGATATGTCATTTCCATGCGTCATCCATTCGCGTAACGTAATACCGAATTTGGTACATGTGAAGCTAGCGAAACAGCCGCAATGCATCTCATTATCATCATGTTATTGCCCGACTCCATGTGAACCTTTTAATGTGCGCAATGGGGCTTCATGTATGGACTTAAAAAAGTGGTTAAATGGGCTTATTTGGACGTACATAGTTTTTCAAACAGCTCTGAATATTTTTCGCATTCGCGTAATAAAACCTCGGGTCGGAAGTCAGTGCCTGTGTATTGTTGGTCTATTCTTGGTGTCCGGTTTCTGTGCTATTTGAAAAATATCAGCCATCTGGGGTTCTTTAATGTGTGCTTAAATCTAGAGTATACAGCCATCTTTGATTACGCCTCCATCGAAATATGATATGCATGGCTGGGATAGTAAACAATAATTTATTGAGTTGATTTAGAACTCTATTGTCATAAGTTTCACTGTCATAAGTTCATTATTAGTGGAGAAAATCAAGGTTGAAGTTTCATTTTTAAATTTTGTGCTGTAATCTTCGTGCATGACTTAAGAAATTCCACAATGTATTTTGCGTATTTTTGCAACATTGGCTTGATGAAATTTTTTGAGACTTCGTATGCTAAGTCTATGGCACCCGCAGATTACAATGTACTTCAATTTTATTGATTAAAAGTAGTGTAGGACCCAGCAGACGCCTTCAAAAACATGCTGTCACAGTGTTTGGTCGGAAATCTCAAGGTGGTGCTTACCAAGTGTCGTATTGTGGTATGAGTGGTGTTTTCAGGATTGACAAATTGTACTTTAGTAATATGTGAAAAAGTGCTTTGCTCTTTAGTGTTCCTTTAACAATGCATATTTCATATTTTATTCTGCTCAACTTTGCATATTTTCCACGCAGCATGTCATGTCTATTGTCTTGCTTTGTAATCAAACCTACTCAAGCAGTCTACCTGCATAAAACATTAGAAAAATGCATCTACGCTGGCAGTGAATTCCAGTAATTGTGCTTTTCTGGTATAACACTGCTAAGCAATTAGGCTTTGTGCACAGACCCCAAATGCCCTTTTTTTTTTTTTTCATTTTCTCCGTTACTTATTGTTCAATTTGTTTCTTTGTTTCATGCAGCAGCAGCAACGCCCTTCACGAATTGCTTTGCTACTCGTTCTTGTGTGAAATTAGTAAATATTCAGTTATAGAGTGGAACAGTTCCCTTGCCCACCTCCCCATTTCTTGTGTATCTATACGGTATGTTATGCAATTCATGTTTTTTTTTATTAGTGTTAATGTCTGCCACACTGAATGATGTGGCTGACACATTTTGGACGTCTGGAGGCAGCAAAAGTAATTAAATATGTATAATTAAATTTTCTCTATGAACACACCGGTTCTCTGATCATCACTGTCCTCTTGACCTGAATCAACGATTTCTCCCTCTTCGAGGTCAGCTGACGGAACATCGTCTTCCACGCCTTCGCTGTAATGACAAAAATTTAAACGGCAAATTAAAATGAAGTAGCGAGTCACACCATGTATTTCAGTACAGCCTGCTTGAACAGCTAAAGTCAAATAGCAAGCTTCACGAGCAATGCACATGATACACAATGAAAGCATAGCTTGCAATGTTTTTCATTTTGGCCAAGTGCAGTGCACTATATGACCACAGTATGTGAATGCTTTGACATACATTATCACAAGCCCGATAGCAATAATCTTAAGTGGATAGTTTAGGCACTACCTTAAAGAAAAACAGAATATTGTAGGTGTCAAAAACATATACGAAACATATGTGTAAGTCAACTCTGAGTTCAAATTCACACAAGTTTTTAAGCAAGTTGCAGCCATTTCTTTCTATGCAGAAACGTCTTCTGATTCTTAATTTGCATTGCAGGATAATTATTACCCGCAATGTTTCCTTTCTTAGATCGTGCTGCACACAATGCAATGAGTCATGAGACAAGCCATGTGTCCTTTGCAAAAAGGCCATCGATCATCTATCTCTCCCAATATTAGCTACAAGTCACACGAGCTCTCTGCTCTTGCCAATCACATAAAAATAAAATAGTCCGAAATTTTTCGCATGATTTAGCTGCTTCGTGCTTTCCATACACCAGCTGGCAATCACAATAAAAAAAAGCACGTCAGCTTATGCCACTATTTTGACTTAAGCCTCACTTAAGACCAACCTTCAATTTGCCTTACAGAGCAAAGCAGAAAACTGGGCAAATTGGGATGCACTTATCATTACTCGAGAGCATGCTGTGATGACGGAGACAAAGAGGGAAAATGTGACAAGTGCTCACTTTCAATTAAAGTTTAATTAAGGAAAACTGGATGAAAATAACATACAGAGAACCACGCATGCGTCAGATATGCATAAGATAGAACTCGAAGACGTATGTCACACATTGGTTAAAATATCAGCCTGACAACATGGCGAGGTTACTGAAAACATATCTGCTGAAACTTGCCAAGTGTTAGACCTGTAAAGCACTCGGTGTGGTCCAAGTTTGGACCACAACAAGTGCTTTAAAATCAAGCTGCTAGGCAGTGTGGTCCATGTCTGGACCACACCAAACACTTTAACATCAATGTGCTAGGCGATGCCTAGCACACTGAAACTTTTAGTAGAATGTTTCTGCACCCGCCATGTGTCAGGCTGGTTTTATAAGCAATGTGTGATGTATGTCGTTGAGTTTTTTTGTCTTTTATGCATGCGCGGCACTCTTGCGTTACTTTTCCCGCTTTACTTTATTAAACTTCAGTTTAAAGTGAGCACTCGCCTCGTGTTCTCTTTTTGTTTTCGATGTAACTGCATACCCTTCAGTAACGATGCTTTGCACAGGCCATACAAAAGATAAACACCCACAATTACTTTAGCATGTAATGGTCACGCATGTACATTTATATTTCTGTATTTGCACATAAGAAAAATATGCTCATACCATTAAGCTTGAAGGCTTCATTACATAAAAAAAAAGCTTTGTTATGCAGAAAATAACCACTTTTTGAAATATGTAGGTATGTGAATTAACTTGAAGGCATTTCAGTAAATTGTCTCGGTATTGCTTCATGCATGGCGAATAAAAGAAAGCCACGATGGCCCCTATGATTTTATACCTCAAGATTCTGATTACTATTGAAAACTTGATGCATATAGCAGCTTTTTTGATACGCTAGAGCAAAGCTTCAGTGGTGGATAGTTCAGCAACTCAATTATAAAATAGCTTATGCCAATATTTTAAACTTGTTCAACATTTCTATTTCCTTTTTGCAAACTCTTTATGGAAAAGAATTTAAATACAAATCTTTTTTTATTGAAATTGTGCTTGGATAGCGGTTAAAAGAACTTGATAGCCCAAACATTCGAAGTGGGTCATGCACAGTAGTGGTGAGCTCCAAGTTAATCTTTATGTACTCAGATTTTCAACACATGCTCAAAGTATATGTTAAGTATGTGTTCCAGCTCATGTGTTTTGCACTCTACCATATAAGCAGAATGTCATAGCTGCTGAGCAACTGCAGCAAATACGCTAGCTCACGACATTAATGCATGCAGCTTTTTCTGACCTTGAGCGCACTCAGCTGGAAACACGGCCAACTGTTTTCTCAAAAGTAGCGGACCCGCACAGCTGTCTCAAAACAGCTGCGTTATTTGAGGAGCAGCCAAATAGATCACTGGGGGAGTGAAGCTACACGAATAAAAGGTCATCCCTGGCAGTAAGGAATACAGTCCAAGTAAAGTCACGAAGAGCAACAGTAAATTTTTATCCGTGCCACAAGAGAGATGTCCTAACAAACTCCACAGGTTGATTTTGTTGTCAATACATCCATTTATTCGTGCCTCTTAATAACTCGAGACATATTTTCAATGTCATAGAAGCTGTGCAGCCCCCCCCCCCCAGGATTTCAGTAAAGCTCATGAATGGGCGAGATGGTTGTTGATTTTGTCTGTTTTCGTTTACTCCACTAAGTCCAACATTTCGCTTGAATTTGGTTACACTGAGACATTGTGAAAATATCCCCATTACATGAGGACAATTGCTAGGCACTGCCCCTCTTTAACTGAACTCAACAAGTGAAAAGAAAAATTCCTGTGGCAATTAACAAATAAACCAATGATGTGCTTTAGAATCATTCTGCTGTGTAACCCAACACACGATCCAAATCAAGTGTCTGTGAATTCAGAGTAAAGGTTTGTGAGATGTGCCTTTGAAGAAATTAGTGTATGTACCTTCTAACAAAAACGCTCTGTGTACAGCAGATTGAACATGTGGGGTTGTTAGGTCACCTTCTGTCATGATTTTTTTTTAAAGCAAGAAATTTAGCTGTGCAATCGAAGCATAGTTTCAAGTGCTTCGCATAAAATTTCAATACTTGCAACGTATCCACAAAATGGTTTTTGATTACTTAAGTACTGCTTTTACGGCCAAAAAGATCCTTTAAAACAATTCGGCTTGTTTTTCTGCAATTCCACATATTTCCAACCACTATGCATTCCTACCCAGAACTTTCGTTACCATAACCTTTACATATTTGCAAGCCTCATAATTTCCCGGAGCACCATACCGCTTAATTTAATATACCACATCACAAATACTTAGGAATAATAATTTACTGGTAACTGTTTTTATATATTTTTACTTTCCTGAACTACATCGATAGTAATAAATACAGAAATATTAATAAATGCTAACTGCTAGAACTTAGAAAAAAAAGCGTCAAATTTTCAGTTTTGGTGAAGTATGAAAAAAAGAAAAGGCTGTTTTCTAGTGGATAAGCCCTTAGAGTATATGGTAGTTGTTAAGACAATTCAACAACAGCAACATTGAAGAACAGCTTTGCTTGAAGGATTTAAGTGTCAACAATATTCTTGTACACCACGATATTTGTCCTTAAAAACATAACTAGCATGTTGCCTGCATCAGGTCACTTTAAGCAGAAGCAAAAACAATCTGCTGTTTTGCACCAACAGGGCATGTCTAGCACTATCAAAGACATGCATCTCAGACACCATTTGGCTGCCAACTGCAACAGACATAACCATCATTACGAACCAGTTGATAGCAATGAAGAACCCGGTGATGGCTGAACAGTGCTCTCTGTGTCAAAAATCTTGGCATTGTTGTCAATTTACAACTTAGAGCAGAAAACTATTGAAGTGTTCCAGAGTTATTAAGCCATAAGTAAAATTTAAGAAATTCTTTGTAGTAAAATAAAAATGTGAGAATTGCCACGAGTGGGAGGACCTTTTATGTGCATGGTCGTTCGAAAATTTTCTAATGCTGCTTGTCTTGCTGATCCAATCGATTTCTCCATTAGTTAACTAACCTGCGCCAGTAATTAAAATATGAAATGCGTCAGAGATTTAGCCCTCTCAAACTGCGAGTAAATCAAAACTGGAACCAAACTTGTACCACGTGACCTAAGACCATGCGTCATTGCCGCTTGAACCAAGGGTCTGAAACGGCGCCCGAGAACGGAGTTCACGGAGGAGGGCCAATCAGCCCGCGTTTCTAGGCCACAAAAAAATACATAACAGAAATACTCTACGCCGCATAAGTTTCCAGAAACACCGGCGCGATTCACTTTCTCCATAGCTTCGATGCCGGCCTCAGCTGTCAGTCATTCTTCGCGGCCACGTGACCTCGTGACGTGAATGTCGAAAAAGCACGCGCCATCTTTTTTGTTGTTTTTTTCGTTAAAGCTAGCTAGGCCGTTATTTCTCGTCTCTTATCAGCACTGATCCTGAATTGGGAAAAACTTGAATTAGAAAGAACTTCTTGCTTCGCTTTCTTCTCCCACCGCGGCGTCACAGGCTGTTGCAAACAGCTCATTGCGGGTATCTGTCCCGTCGCCTGTAAATGTGAAGACTCAATTAATGCGGAAATATATGTTTACAGCTTGCGAACGCTTAACCTGTTCCTGGAGAATTAGGCGATTTAAAAAGGCGGCGTCGTCATTACACTTTCCGTTACAGTATGAACGGCCTGCGAATACTTATCACGAATGATCGAATCACAAAGCGAGGGTGAATGAATAATTGAGAGTACTCGGCTCACGGGCGAAAAATAAGAGTAAAAATCGCTATTCCGCAAATAGTCCAGATGGCATATATAATGAAACAATGGCCCGGCGGAGCTCGAGTGCGCAGTACAATTGCGGCACTCGCACAAGCACGAAATAACAGCTGGCTAAGTCTCGTCTAAATATGGCCGACTACTAACAAGCGCCCTGCCGCGCAAGGGCTGCTAACACATACTGCACAAGCCTGCCATAAACTTTTCGATATGCACAGCGCCAATAAACTGCTGTATGTTACAGAGAAATAGATAGCGGCAACGATCGAAATAGCACTGGAGGGTTCAAGGAGGAGCACAAGAGACATATCGGGCAGGGACGGGCCCCGTGTTGGGGGCACCGTCAAAGCATCAAGTTACACAGCGAAATAAACGAAGCAAGTAAATCTATCTGAGCCCTGAACGCTACGACTAGACCATGCACAAGTGAGAGATCGCCCAACACCCAAGTGAAGGGGCGTTCGCAGTCAGGCCTAAGCCCGGATGCGTCCGCCATTATCGACGTGGCCCCCATTACCTTGGTGGTAGGGTTCCGCACTTCGGGAAATCATTTCGAGAGCACAGTTTAGCCATCGGCCGTACTTTTGCGGGAAGTTAGCGCCGAGAAAGAACTCGCGTTTCAATATGTAGGTTACCCGACCTTTCCATTTCTCCATTCTGTGTATCTTTGTTTGCATGCCCAACCTTAGGGAGAGCTTTTGCAAACACACTTTCATGGGCCATCTACGCGCGGCCGGCTCTCGGATGTGCTGCGCCACACTGCAGAGATCGATCTTGTTATGGGGGGTTTTCAGAGTGATGTCGAAGTGTTAGCGCTAATCGCGGACATATTCCTCCACAAGTGGGAAAACACTGCGTCTCGCAAACGACACACCACATTTGACCGCAACGTCATCCTCGATGAGGCAGCCGGAGGCGACGTCAGCAACAAGCGCTGGAACGCTCCCATTGGTCCCCGCCGAAGGCTATTTCTTCAACCCCACAAAGTTCACAATCACGCAATACAAGTATAGAATTTTATGTGAAAAAGAATGTAAGCTATTTTAGTTATTGTACTTTGCGTATGACTTTGGTGTCTTTAATTTATAGACGGCGCTAGTAAAAAAAATAGTAACCATCATCAGTTGCCCTCCGCACACGTGACGCATGCACTCGCTTCAGTTTTGTTATCGACGACGAATAAACAGCGGAAGCATGCGAGAACTCGAAGTCCAAGCGTATTCCAAATATGATGTCTTATCCACCGCTTCGAGCTGTGGCCTTGCAACGTTAGAGGAAAACACTGAACGTAGCCGCTGCCTCGTAGCCAAGAACGATCCCTCGCTATGGTTGTAAGTTTATCGGAGGTTATTCGCGTTTGTTTTTTCTAGGTGTTAACAGTGACATTTTGTGGGTGATTTTCAGTGCTCCAGCCTCAAGGGTATCACGTTCGAGAATTGGTCCAAGACAGTTTAGTTGCAAGCCTGAGTACTTCTTCGAACCCAAAAATCAGGATGAGCTACTCGAGGTGGGCGCGACGAGTGCATGCATCAACGCTGCAGTTGTCACGAGTGGGAATTCTTACCGTTTCTCTTTTTGTGGCCGTCGCGCTAGGTCTTGGATTTCGCCCGACAACGCGGCAAGAAAGTTCGAGTGGTTGGTGCCGGCTTCTCGCCGTCGGACATCGCATGCACGCCGGAAGTGATGGTCAGCATGTTGCAGCTCAACAAAGTCCTGAAGGTTAGGTATGCTTGCTCTCTACTTTCGGTGCGGCCACTAGTGCCCGGACGACGTTTGTTATACATACCACATGCACACTCTCCAAAGAATGGCATCATCGTGAACAACCATGCTCTACGCATGCATACAATTCAGTCTCTGGAAGAGCATATTTTTGTTAGATTTTGGAAATGAAACAGCGCAAATTATGGAGCGCAGAAAAAAGAAGACACAAACAACAACGCGGATTTACAACAGTTTATTCGCCAACACTGCATTATACATATTTGCCTTGTCCTAAACAAAAGAAACAACGATAAAACCAATAATGACACTAACAAACTATCACTCTTATCACGAAGAAAAAGAACAGGCTATCAGCCTCATTAATGCCTATCTGTCAGATGAGTGCATGAACAATGTGCATGGTTAACATTGATGAGGCTGATAGTCTTTTTTTTTTTCTTCTTAGGGTCTAAGCTCCTAAGGGTGCGGTTCGTTCCCTTCTCTGTAGTATGTATGTAACCACCTTTAGTTTGCTCAAGAGTTGGCATTGTGCGTATATGCCCTTGGAAATAATATCACTAGATGGTGTTAGTGGTTTTCGTATAGTGAACCGACAGACGAATAGACAGACGTTTTGCCTCACTCATCATGATCCACTCTGTGGGTATGCTGAGACTTTCCTTTTATGAGGCTGATAGTTTGTTAATTTTATCATGTGCCTTCTTTATTTCATTTAGGACTTGGCTAATATGTGTAACGCAGCGCAGCCACAGTGGCCTAGTGGCTAAGGTGCTCGGCTGCTGACTGACCCGCAGGTCATGGGATCGAATCCCTGGCTGCGCTGGCCGAATTTTCCCCTCCATCGAAAATGCTTTAGGCCTATGTGCTCAGATTTGGGTGCACGTTAAAGAACCCCAGGTGTTCGAAATTTCAATAGCTTTTCACTCTGGCATCTCTCATAATCATATGGTGGTTTAGGGACGTTAAGCCCCACATATCAATAATGCAGTGTTGGTGAATAAACTTATTGTGAGTCAGCGCTGTAATTTGTTTCCCCCTTTTTCTTGAGCTTTTTTTGCGAGATCTTGTTTCCGAGATGTCAGTACAACTTGCCCAAGCATCCACTGTTATTTGTGACGTTTTCTTCCTGTTGATGTTTCATTTCACTACATATGAGCATTAATAATTATTTTGCAAATATTGTGTTTAGTTGTTCAACATTTATTGTATAATATTAATTTATGATTGCACCATTGTATGCATTAGGCTATCTTTGTATTTTATTTTTATGTATACTGCCCTTCCTGCTTAGGCCAAGTTGACCTGCAGTATATTGAAGTGAATAGTTATAAACTGGGCGGGCAGCTTGGTAAATGCAATTAATAAAATTCAGTTATAAGATATCTGCCTGATTCACGAGTCTGTTGTTCTGAGGCAGGGGAGCCAACCCACTCACCATCAAAAGTCACTGGAGGTAATTTTTAATACCCTAAATAGTCTACTAAAATATTTTAAGAAGGCGGATGCATTCTAATATTATAATATGGTAACTTTTTTTTGGCAATGTCTTCCAATAAATGTTCTCACTTGTTAGTAGCACTGGTCCAGTGATTCTCTCTTCCTTTTTTTTTTCTTGTATTGCGCAATGCTTTACTTAAAAAAAAAAAACAAAAAAAAAAAAACCTCCCCGCACCTGAAAGGGGAGGAGGACCTTTCTGCTAATATAAGGAAAGTTTGTTCATCCAGTGTATCAAAATCACAGTGAGGTGGCACATGAAAGCACATTTTAGCTTCAAGTTGGTTAACCACCGGCAGAGGATACATTTAGTTCTTTAAGTTGTTACTCGACTGCATTTATTTTGTTCCGTTGCTTATTTATTTAGTTATTTTCACACTGTCATCAAGGCATTACATGAGAGGGGAAGGGGGAAGGTTACACAGTGCACAATTGCTAGTAGTGACATATTTACAGGTGTAAATTGCAATGGAAATGCATTTTACATCGCAGTAGGAGTAACTAGGATTGGACATTAAAATTGGTAATCTTAATGACTACAAAGTCAGCCATCCTATAAATAGTAACATGAACTTCTTTTATTAGAAATATAGCTTCGTAACAAAAAGTAGAGGACAGTATTGGAGTTGACAGTTAAGACACCGTCGGTTACGTGATTCTATGCCGGAATGAATGTATTTGTGTATGACTCAGTTCTGCATTCAAGCAAAAATTTGAAAATTTAAGGGCTCTTTTTTTTTTGTTAGACACATATATACCCCATAAAAGTGGATGGGTGAATGACCGCTGCTGTAGCTCAGTTTACTAGAGCATTGGACGCATTATTTGAAATTCACAGATTCGGTCCCTGTCTCATACACATTTTTTTGTTCACGTTTTTATTAAAGTTCCTACTAACAACATCTCCTATGCTTTCCTAGGCATCATTGTCTGTTAGTTGTTATTATTGCAGTTTTACATCTGTATTCTCTAAACTTGTTTGTATGATCGATTCATTATGAGTTGAGGTACTGTGAAATCATGTACTTATCCTTATCTCGACCTGTTATGGAAATAAATATGTTATGAAACATTTTTCATCTTAACTTGTATATCTATATACCCAGTGTTTCCCATCCTAAGTTCTCATTTGCAAGGTGTATTGTATTCATATCAGTTCTTTCGAGCAGCTTCAAAGTTCTGATCCCAGGCTGGTCACTTCATGGTGTTTGCAGCTGAGGCATAAAAAGTATTCATTCTAAAACACCAGTATGTGAATACGAGCAGAAGTCAAAATGCCACAAACACCGACTAACAACCAGAGATGGGCACAAGAGGTAGAAAGGAAAGAAGGCATGAAAACAGTATTTGCGCCTGCCCATGCAATATGTGAACATATGTGCTCTACGCGAAAGATAACTGTAAAGGCTTTTCATTTTAGTTTTATGCAAGTTAATCGACAGTTGGCTCACGCATGCATACCACTAGTATCGGTATCTCAAGTCTCAGCCATCACGACGCGTTTCGTCATTCCTATGCCGATACAAAGTCGCGCATTCATCGAGTTTCTGCAGTGCACTTAGGCTCTCGGCAATGTAAGATAAGATCGGAAGGTGAGCCTTCACTTAGCCATCTCTTATGTTCCAACAATCTCTGCTTAATGCAAAGGGCCCTCTAACATAGATGCAGCTGCACTTTTATTTATTTTGACTTATGTAATAGTCAGCATGTTACAGCTAACATACAACAGTTAATGTCTCCTATGCTTTCTTTGGCCCATTGACCTGTTGAATTAATTTGGTTTTGTCTATCAAAAAAAAAAAAAATAAGCTCCTCGAAAGAAATTCCTCTTCTTTTATATATGCACAACCTGGTACTCACATACACTCAAGAAAGCTGTTCAAGAGAGACGATGTGACCATTGGTCTGCAAACATAGTACAAGATAAATGATGAGTTGTTTTTCAAGTACTCTAATCTCACAATATGCTTTTGTTTTCCCCTCTCTGCCTTGGCACATACTAGGTGTACGAGCATCTGCCATCGACTTCTTTTTCGTTATCTTCTCTGTGTGTGCCATTCTGTCCTGTGCACCTCTGTTGCTCGTGACAAAGTGGCACTCATTGGCTGCTGTTCTCTAGCTTTTTTATTTTCTGTGAGATATTTGCCTCTTCCTTTTCTTATTCTCTCTCTCTCTCTCACTTCTTCATTGACTGTGCACCTTCTTTATAAATAGAATTATCGATTTTCGGGCAAAACTCTCATAATTCCAGATGTCTGTTCTTGACACAAGTTGCCTGAAGACTGAGTTAAACCCAGTTTTTCTAATGTTATTTTTTTTTAAGGGCGATTATAAATGCTGCTGTTGCTAAAGTAACCACTACTCAATTTGTATTAGAGCATAGTCAAGTTTTATCACATTATTAATTTTATGCATGCGGGAACAACTACTATGAATGTATGTGATTATATACTGTACCTAGACATATAGCTTACCATTATCCGTTATGTACTATCAACGTCAAATGAAACCCAAACAGCGGCAAGCCTTCACGATGGCATAATGCGCGCCCTCCACTTATCACCACCGGCAGGCATACATATGGGTGCATAGCTGTTGAGCAGAATGTGCGCGCCAGTAAATGTTGATAACAGGACGTCGCGCACTATACCATCGTGAAGGCTTGTTGTTGTTCGGGTTTCATTTGACACTCATAGTATACCATACCTCATACCATTTGTCTTTTTGCTAAATATTCAAACTGGGTGAGACTTCAAAAGTGAGTTTCAAAACTGATTGTGCAGCAGTGGTAATAAAAGCAATGATTATAAAATTTTCAAGCTATTCTAAAGAGATGCAGGTTACACTGAAGCTTAAAGTTAGTTCCAAATTGTGTTTATGGTTTTTCTTTGTTTTCAAATATTTTATACTTATGTACTTTTCCCTTTATGATATGCTGTTTGCAGAGTATTGCCATTTGGCACAAATGCAGCTACAAACACTTTACAGAAGTGAAACTAAAATAGTGAGCGTACAATAAAACTAGATTTGTTATGTTTATTTGTGTTTATTGATGCATAAAAATTGCCACTTGTGAATGTTCTTTTTAATAATAAAAAACAAAAATGTACCTAGCCTACTGATTATAGTTCATGTTATAGAAATTCCACTAATTAAAACATTAAATTTTTTGTTTTCTTATGTGTGACAGCTTCAGAGGAAGAGGCACACAAACTTCGAAATGTTCTTTTGAGAAAAACGCAGAAATTGTGCAGGAGTACACGCGCATTTCCTGTGACCGTGCCAAAGGAAAAAGACCGAAAATCATATTTAATCCTACGAGTGCTGAAATGGGATATATTTTCTGAAAAAAAAATAATATATATATATCGGGTGACTGCAAAATTCAAAACTTGACTTTCTTAGCTAGAGGAAGTTTCAACTTAAATGAAAACCGGCATTCATAATGTGTTATAATGTACTAAACGGAGTAAGCAAGAGCATTAGACCACTACTGTTGATGTCTGTCTTGTTTGTCGCAGCTAATGCATGAATTCTTGTGCACATGATCTTGCATCCATCATATTCACTTATATTGACTGTGTTTTTTTGCCACTTGAAGCATTATAGATAAATATTTTATGCAACATAAAATGGGGTGTTCGTATTGATTGCTATAACTGTGATTTTTTTAGGTGGATGAGGTGACTGCAACCGTGAAGGCTGAAGCTGGCGTCACATTAAAAAGACTGAATGAAGTGGAGCTCGCTCAAAATGGCCTTGCTCTTATGAGGTATTAAAGGCCACTTTCTCACCTGTCTCACGTAGTCAGGTTTTCTGCAAGTTGCTATCAACAGTGTGCTGATTTTATGAGTGTGCAGAACTGAATATGAGACACACAGCACAAGTGCATTTTCAAAACTGTGATGAAGAGTTTTTTTTATATAATAAAGTGAAAAAATTGTCCGACTGATAATAAAGTGTAAAATATGCACCTTTGAAATAATTATTAGATATGATGATGCTACTTACAGATAAATATGGCTTGGTAAAATGAGTAGGTTAGACTTGTAGAACACCAAAGAAAAATCAAGTATACAGTAGTATAGAATATATGTGTAAGTATCTGTTGCTTTGGTGATAATGACAAAAACCATGATGTCATATGGGCAAATGAATTGTAAAAAAAAAGTTGCAATTTTGCATCGAAAAGAACACTGTGTGCACCTGAAGTGATAGTAGCTGCATGAGCGGCTTCTTTCTCAAGCTTAAAAGAAGTCTTGCTCATTTTTGGAAAAATGCACAGCACTCATTGGATCCCACTCTTATTACCATATCCTGTCGTCTTGTCTCTACCTCAACATGTTCCTTTACCACTCTTATACCCATAGCCAATCACCTCATCTCCACCTCTCATTGGTCACCTTTTCACCTAGTCAGGTTCCTTTGCCACTCCAATACCTATAGCCGGTTACCACATTCCACCTCGCACCTATCGTAGCTTCTCATTAGTCACCTTCTTGCCTCAGCATGTTTTTTTGTCACTCTTATACCCATAGCCAGTCGCCTGGTCTCCACCTCCCTTCGGTCACCTTCTTGCCTTAGCATGTTATTTTGCCACTTTTATACCTATCGCCAGTTGCCTCGTCTCTACTTCACACCCATAGTAGCCTCTGATTGGTCACCTTCTCGACTCAGCATGTTCGTTCTATCACTGTTATACCCATATCCAGTTGCTTCGTCTCCACCTCTCATCAGTCACCTTCCTGCTTTGGCATTATCTTTTGCCACTTTTATACCTATCACCAGTCGCCTCGCCTTGCCTTAACCTCACGCCCAGCATGTCCTCTTATTGGTCACCTTCTGACCTCAGCTTGTTCTTTTGCCGCTCTTGTAACCAAAGCCTTGTCTCCACCTCACGCCCATTGCAGCCTCTTATTGGCCGCCTTCTCGCCTCCGCATGTTTCTTTGTCACTCTTATACCCTTAGCCACTCACCTCGTCTCCACCTCTCATTGGTCACCTCCTCGCTTCAGCTTGTTCCTTTGCCACTTTTATGCCCATAGCCAATTGCCTCGTCTCCACCTCACGTCCAGTGTTGGTCATTGGTCACCCTCTCGCCTCATCATGTTCCTTTGTCACACTTATACCCACAGCCAGTCGCCTCGTCTCCACCTCTCATTGGTCATCTTTTCTCCTCAGCATGTTGCTTTGCCACTTTTATGCCCATAGCTGATTGCCTCGTCTCCACCTCACGCCCAGCGTTGACCTCTCATTGGTCACCTTCTTGACTCAGCATGTCCCTTTTTGTCATCCTTATGTTCTTTTGGCCACGCTATACCCAAGCCGATTGCCTTGTCCTTTACCTCACACCCATTGCACCCTCTCATTGGGTCGCCTTCTCTGCCTAAGCATGTTTTCCTTTGTTCACCTTATACCATTAGCCCAGGTCCGCTCTCCCAGCTCATATCACCTTCTTGCCTCGCTTTGCCACTTTTATGGTTCGTATCCCGGCTGCGGCGGCTGCATTTCTGATGGAGTCGGAAACGTTGTAGGCCCGTGTGCTCAGATTTGGGTGCACGTTAAAGAACCCCAGGTGGTCAAAATTTCCGGAATCCTCCACTACGGCGTCTCTCATAATCATATGGTGGTTTTGGGACGTTAAACCCCACATATCAATCAATCATTGCCACTTTTATGCCCATAGCCAATTGCCTCGTCTCCACCTCATGCCCAGTGTTGACCTCTCATTGGTCACCTTCTTGACTCAGCATGTCCTTTTGTCACTCTTATGTTCTTTTTGCCACGCTTATACCCAAAGCTGATTGCATTGTCTTTACCTCACACCCACTGCACCCTCTCATTGGTCCCCTTCTCGCCTAAGCATGTTCCTTTGTCACCTTATACCCTTAGCTAGTTGCCTCGTCTCCACCTTTCATTAATCACCTTCTTGCCTCAGCTTGTTCCTTTGCCACTTTTATGCCCATAGCCACTTGCCTCGTCTCCACCTTCACGTCCAGCGTTGGCGTCTCATTGGTCACCTTCTCGCCTCAGCATGTTCCTTTGTCACTCTTATACCCATAGCCAGTTGCATCATCTCTACCTCTCATTGGTCACCTTCTCACCTCAGTCAGGTTCCTTTGCCACTCCTATACCTATAGCTGGTTGTCTCGTCTCCACCTCGCTCTCATCGTAGCCTCTCATTAGTCACCTTGCCTCAGCACGTGCTTTTGTCACTCTTACACCCATAGCCAGTTGCCTCGGCATCTTCTTTTGCCACTCTTATACCCAAAGCCGGTCCCCTTGTCTCCACCTCACACCCATCGCACCCTCTCATTGGTCGTTTTCTCACCTCAGCATGTTCCTTTGTCACTTTTATATCCATAGCCAGTCGCCTCGTCTCCACCTCACGCCCTGCGTGGCCTCTCAATGGTCGCCTTCTTGCTTCATGCATGTTTCTTTGCCACTATCATAACCATTAGCCGATCACCTCGTTTCCACCTCTCGTCCAGCGCAACCTCTCGCCATATTTCTTTGCCACTCTAATACCCATAGCTAGTTGCCTTGTTTCCACCATGCCTCTCCTTTTGAGCACAGCGGAGCCCCCAATTGGTCACTTCGTCTGCCTCGGCAAGTTTTTGTGCCACTTTGGTGCTGGGGCATTCACTTCTACAGTCTCTTTCTTGCTACAGTGTAGTGTAAACTATACGAGTCATTGCCTGAAAATGCCCCTAAAGACTGTCTAAAGAAAGGCGACAAACACAGGTCAACATGCTACTAACAACTGAAATAAGCAATGATTCCGAACCAACTCGCCCAACTTTCACTGTTGGTAAACTTTGTGTCCACATTCAGGACTAGGATACCACTCATGCCGCCTTCTTTAATGTGTTATGGCAAGGTGCTAGAGCATGTGTGTAAAGAGGTCAGTACAGTGTGAGCAGGCGCTGCACTTGGTGGAACAAAAAAACATGTTCTTTGACTCCTTTAGCCTATTGGCTGCCACGCTATTGCGTAGATGCTGTGTTGTTAATAAACTGCATTGGTTGCCTAAAAAAGGGCAGTTTATATTTTAACCATCAAGAAATATTTGCCACCATCATTCTAATTTAATGATGCCATATTATATGCGAACAGATTTATTAGAGTTTTTTTTTGTCCCTTGCACTGTAACAGACTAATTATTTGTGGCCTTTTACCACATTGTGATACTTTCAAACTGTATTAACTTTGTTTAAATTAGTTTGTGTTTCTTGTTTTCGCCCTCACCTTGCTTGGACTTGTATAAGGCTTGCAGTATTGAATGAAGGAAAGAACTCGGTGATTAGTTAAGTTTATGCCTTGATAGTTACCATTAGGAAATTTTGGCTGGAATTTTCGCATGTGCACTGGGCATTTATTGATGTTTATGATGCTTGAGTGCAAAATCGTGACGGCAGTAGCATTTTTGAGTGAAGTGTGTGATGAGGCAGTCAGCACAGTGTATTTGTAACCTTGTGTCAGTTGACTTATTGTGATGATTGGAAGATGTTCTTGAAATATTGTGGTGATATAATGTGCAAATCCTTCCAGTCTAGCTGCTCTTTCTGACATAACTGTTGGTGGGGCCATTGCCACTGGTGTCCATGGTTCTGGCATCCACCATGGGATATTTTCAACACAGGTAGGAGATAGTGCCCTGTACTGCATGCTTCTTTATCGTGTACCTCATAAGCTAACTTCATAATCACTGATGGACGTTGTGGGGTTTGTCGTCTACTCCAATGAACCAGGCCACTCGTCTACTTTACTTTGGGGTAACTCAAAAACGATTTATTACTGTAGCTTTAAAATGATTACTGCAACAATACAAATACATAAACCCGAACTTCCGTGAACAGTTCCTCACCGGTGCCGTTACTCCTGGCCTCTGCAGACCACACTCCCTGCACACCGCACACCGCACAGCAGTTTACCGACAACTCCACTTTGGTCGCTCGCCGTGTCCGCTTATGAAGCGTGCCCGCATCTGGACGCATGTGCACTGGTTCTCTCTGAATAGTCTTATCGCTGTCTGTGCCAACATGGGCGAGAGTGGTGATGTAATGTTTGTCGGGAGTTCCCCACAACATTTATAGCTCAAATATGTTTTGTGTTTGTGCTAGATCCTGCATTCCCTATATCAGACTGTACTGCATACTTGGACTGCTGCCATGAGAAATTACATGTTAAATAAGACAAACATGCACCATCTGTTGACAACAAGCACATTTCTCTGAAAATAATTATTTGAAATTAAACTGTTATGAACACAGAATTTCAGCATCCTATTTGCAAGTGCAGTAGTTGAAATAGCAAACAAAGACTTTTTGTGTATTGAGGTTTCGTAATGGTGTACTACTCATATCTCCTAGGGTGAATGTCAGGGGAAAAATAAGAAGAAGATGGATTGTTTGCTGCACTAATAATATGCTGTTTTTGCATTCAAAGGTTCTGGAGCTTGAGCTCATCACAAGCAATGGCGAGAGGCTCCGCTGCTCAAAGTCGGAGAATGAAGAAGTCTTTCGAGCAGCCTGTTGTGGCTTGGGCTCGATCGGCATTGTCGTTACAGCTACAGTGCAGTGTGTCCCAGCTTTCAGACTGCTAGAGACGCGATACTCACGTCCCTTGCAGGAGGTTTGTAAGTTTCTCAGCGTAACTAAAGTAGAAACTTGCTATATTGCGACTTGCACTCTTTGCATCAAATTTATGAATGCTTCCTTGTATTCCTCGTAAAATCAGGCAGTGCAAAATTGTTTTGTGCAGCCTGTGGTGTGTAGCACAAGTAGGTCATGCAAGATAACCGGGAAGGGGGAGACATGGTGATGTGTTTCATATAATGCCATAGGAAATAGCCTGTTAGTCCGCTCTGTGCAGATGCTCGAGTTGCCTGTATCACTCAACTTGAAGGCTCCAATTGTAAGCCTTTAAATTCCAGTTGTATTTATATGGCTTATATGGCCTTGCAGTGTTATGGAGCTGTAAGCTAGTGTTTTTTTCACGGCATACTATGGCCATAAAGTAATTAATTGTAGATATGCCGCTTCAATATGTACAGTACATATGTCTTTTAGTTTGACAAAATTTTGGTGTGCATGCTATGGGTCACTTTGCACTGCCTGGGAAAACAACAGTCATTGATACTTAACTGTAAGAATGGTGCATCTCTAATATGACATTTCTGTTTCCCTTCTGCTTTTTTTTTTGTGTTTCTTACACAAGGGTCTCTTCAGTGGAGCACTATTGTACTCTTCTTTTTGTTTATACATCTTACAGAATTCTTAGGTTCAGGTAAGTTATGTGGTTCACCTTTTGCGTGATAAGTTTAACACTATACCACAAATGTTTTTCCCCACTTTTGCAGCATGTGTTGATGCAAGTTGTATGACATTGCACACAACTCAGTAGCGGCAGGAGGAGGAGCACTAAAGCTCTTTGTGTATTATGCCTTTCAGGTTCTAGAAAATTTGGATGTGCATCTGCAGAGTTCAGAGCATTTTCGTTGCTTGTGGTATCCACACACGGACTCTGCGGTATGCTTTCATTTGGCAAGCACAAAGGACGTAAGCATTCATTTCAGCACCATTCTAGCAGGGCCATGTACAAATTCATATGGGCATAGCGCACCACGACAAGAACACAAAGAGAGACATGCACACACAGCGCTAACTTGCAACTTGAGTTAGAAGTTAGCGCTGTGTGCGTGCGTCTCTTTTAGTGTCCTTGTCCTGATGCGCTATACTCTCTTGAATGATGAACCCCAACCAACTAGCCCAGCAATGTGCCTTACCCATGTACAAAATTAAGATGCTGCTGTCAATTTGAGTGCGTAGCACTTCAGGGGCCTGGCCATACATTTCATGTGGCGTGATCTCACTCAAGATCAAGAGGTAGAATGCCTATAACCAGTTTGAACTAAATTAGTGATGTCCAAAGTATTACAATTAACTGAAATAACCACAGAAGTGTTCGTAATAATTATCTTCTGAATTACTAAAAACACCTCGGAAACATGTGCCCGACTCCTGTGTTGTGCAAGATATGGTGCCGCCACCTCGTCAAAAATATGAATGTTTAGCCTGCTGGCACTTCTGCTTATGCGGCAGCATTCGGCACCACATCTTCGCAGGGCAAACAATCTGACGAATCTTGCTGCCGACGACACGTATCTCAACAGCTGTAACAAGCAGGAAGACAATAAAAAATCAGCACAAAGTAGCCCGCATGCCGCATACCAAGTTTGCAAATTTCGCTACCGATGTTATGGCTGGGTAAATGGAGCAGTGAGAACTCGGTGCATGGTAATCACTGCATGACCGGTGACTATGCACTTTTTCAGGTTTCACAGCAGTAGCACTGCATTTTATTTTTTTAATGTTACAGGCTTTTGAGTATATTGTCTAGTGTAATGATTCAATGGTTATTGTAAATCAAAGACGAGGATAAAATGTCTTTGTTCTGCGCTCTCATAATTTTTTGGGGCTGTCTAGTAATGATCACTCAATCTTACCAACCTGCATAACTAGCCATACTTCCCTGTTCAATGGTTCACTCTGAGTATCATGTTATGCTATGGTGTGAACCTCTCACAGCATGGTGCCACTTCCACCTTTAGAAAAACCAGTCGGTGCCTAATGCTGATATGTGGACATGCGTCTGACATAGTAGTTATTTTAATGGCTTCAGTGCAACAGGTCCTATGTGTTCTTCTGTATTGTGTACTACCGTCTGTATTGATGTATTTTTCTTGAAACCTTGTTTTCTTTTACTTTTGTTATAACCATTTTCTTTCAGTAATGTTTTACCCTTGAGGGCACAACAAATGAATTAAATTGTTGACTCAAGACATTCATTGCCCTATGAAGCTGTTCAGTTTTGTACATTTAAAATAATTAAAATCTGCCTTGCATCTCTCTGATGGCTGAACTCCTGTGATATATGCAATTCACATTATTTTTCTACGTATTGGGTAGGCAGAGTTTCAGACCTAAATCACAGTTCTATAAAGTAGGCATACTAAACTTGAAATTTATAACTGCTGAATACTAAACTGGCTGTCAACTTCATTGTTGTGCCTTAACAGTATTATATAAACCTTATCATTTCTAAGGTTATTTAAGTTCAAAAGTCGTAAGAAACAGAGGAAAAACTTGATGGACAAACAATCATAGAAATACAGCACTAGTTTATTTTTGTGTGTTTGTGCATTGCTTTTGTGGTGTTTTTTATGCGATCTTGAACAACCAAATGGCCTAAATTACTGCCCTTAGTGTAAAAGATGCGAGAAATTTTTGCTTTTACAATGACCACAAATTTAAAAAACTTGTGTTTTTCTAGGTAACATAAATGTTTCACAATTTGAAATGCATTAATGTGGATTTTATCTTATATTAACTTGGTTATTACATGCAGGAGATAACAAAGCCATCATTTCGCGAAGCTCTCTACTACTGGTTTGTGGATTATGCCTTTGGGTACTATGTCATGGAGTTTCTACTCTATCTTAGGTGAGAGTGTCAGCATTGGCAATTGTAATCATTTGATTGTGTGCTAGTAGATTTTGCATTTCTATTTCACAGGGCCCTAGAAACTACTTTATAGTATTTCACAAATAGTTTTCACACACCTTCTTTGCAGTTGTAGTCATCAATTGTATTTTATTTCTTGTTTCTTCATAATGTACACTAGAGCTTTCTTTTTTGTAATGTGTGGACACTTTAGCTCGGGTGCATACAGAAAGCAATGTTGATGGTAATGCATTACAAGTAATGGCATTACCAGTAAGGCGTCATTTTTTTGTAATTAAGTAACATAATTATTAATGCTTTTAACTGTAACTAGTAATATACTTATGTTCGCATTTTCCGGTAAGGCAAGCTCTCACATCACCCACTACTTCTTATTCCAATTATCTCTAGGAGTCTTCAACAAACTCTTTCTTCTAGTATGCGTAACATTTCAGAGCTATCCTTTCGTCACAGCAGCAGGCTGCTATCGTCCTACCAAGTGTTGACGTTTGTAGTATCATGTAAAGCATTCATCAACCACTTATAGATTTACTGCGGATGCAGACATATTCATTAAAAAGTGAGGCAAGCTGTCTGAGGACAGCTTTGAAACAGAGCAGTGTTTTTTTATTCTTCATGTTTAGCTGTCAGCAATTTGTCCCTGCAATACTACATCTTTGTTTATAAGTTCTGTTTTCAAAATAAAATTGTGGGTAGAGATTTCTGGTTGTTGAATTCTTGAACGAGCAAGGCTGACCTTGAATGCCTGCCCATAAACACTCGCAGCGGCAATTAAGGGATCATAATAACTGCAGGAAAGGAATATTCGAAAAAGGCTCTGAAAGGTCGCTCTTCCAGCTTTCGCTGGGACAGTGCTGTACGTTTCGCGCAGGCCTGGCGATTTTTAAAAGGGCATGTGCTATTCTCTGGGGCAATGCACAGATTTCATCGTTACTGCATTTACTTTAATAATCTTTACTTTAGATAATCTTTACTATGCATCATGCAGAGCCAATCTCTGAGCCTTCATTGGCAAAAGTCAGGTTTCACAACCTCTTTTGGCAGCATTCTGCTTTTATTCACCCAAAATGCCAGGGTGGAGCGTGCGTCAAGGTTTCACGGATGCCCTTCTGGTCAGGAAGAATCATTGAATAAAAATGTGAAAGCGCTGACCACAACAGAATAAAAATGTGATGACGTTTTGGCACCCAAATGGGAGCCTTGTTCACAGTGAAAGCGATAGGCGGAAACTAAGCGTTCCAATAGTTCATAGCTTGGGCTTAACCATCTTGCGTATGCGGCGGGCAGATTACCATCCGTGCGGTTGAGTGTGCTTTTTCTTGTTTGTATTGTTAGTGATTCCAGATGCAATACAGAAGTCAATTCCTTCTCGATAGCGACGACACGTGCCTTGCCCCGGTCTCTCATGATTTGAGGCTTGCGCCTGCTCAGCGAGGCCATTCGATGACACCTCCTCATTTTTTACATGATTGCTGTGCTGTTTCAGCTGTTGCTCAAAGTTACCGGATTGACCGATATACACACAATCGCAGTTCATGCACGGAACCTCGTACACAGCACCTGGAAAGCACTCTTTTTGTAATTTGCCTTTCACATTGACGAGAGTGTGTTTTAGCTTGTGCGTGGGTACATGAGCTACGTGCATGTTGTACTTGCGCAGAACAGGAGCTAAAGTATCACTTCACGCCAAGCACGTGGGTGTAGTGGACTGTTTCGAGCATTGTGAAGGGGCTGTGGAAGGGTGTTCCAACTTACGTTCCACGGACGACACGAAGGAATCTGCCTAGCCACGCCAACGCAAACAAGAAAAACAGTACAAACAAAAAAAAGCCCACTCAATCACATGGATGGTAATCTGCCCCCGCATACTGAAGTTGTTTATGCCACGTGCTGTATAGACTATTTAAACTCTAAGTTTACACCTTTCGCTTTCATTGTGAACAAGGCTCTCGTTCTGGGGTCAGAAACGTCGTTACATTTTTATTCTGTTGTGGTCGGCAATTTTGCATTTTTATTCAATATCTTCACTTTGTGCTACTGTAATACCCATTGACAAAAAGCACCAAAATGTGTGCACAACGTGCTCAGTGTTCAAGTGCTGCTTTTGAAAGTAGCGCACTTCCTGACTTTGCGACCAGCGAGCATTACTGTTGCAGACGATTCAATTCAACACTACGCAGTTTGAGCATTTGTGCCTGTGTGTGGCTGCAGGGCTCACCGCATCACGACGCCATGAGTTTCGAGATTTCCTGTAACTGTTTCGTTATTGTGTGAGAATGGTTATTTTTCACATGTCTTGAGAAAATGGTTTTTGCCAATTTGAAAAATACTCTCCATCATGCTTTGCGGCATACCAAATCTAGCACAATGAAACGGTCTTTCCGAAAATATATGTTGTAGAGCAACAAAAATATTTTGGAATGAATGAAAATGTGAGATGTGTGTAATTTTAGGTTAACAGCTGATAAACAGTGCAAGAAAAAACACTACATATGCAAAAATCTTCAAAACAAAGAAAATTCAGAATTCACGTTTTGAGAATGATCGAGGCAACAGTATAAAAAACTACTAAATGTTGTACAATAAGTTTCTATTCACAATGATCGAGGAACAGTATGAAAAACTACTAAATGTTGTACAATAAGTTTCTATTCACACAAAAAAAGGAAATTCGATCCGAGGTGCTGCTTCATTGGTCATGTCGTGCGGTGAAGCATTGCTTGGTTTTTCATGAAACTCAAGTGAGGTCGTACACTTTTCTCAATCAAATTTGTTTTTTTCCGATAAGAGTCTGCAGGTGTTCGACAATGATGGATGTCCGCTGATGTGAGTGACCCCTCTAAAAATCAGGTGTTATTGAACTTCGCTATTTCGTGTAGTGTTATCTTGTGCCATGAGCCACCTCACTTCGCATAAGCTGGCACTTCAGTATATGCATCAAAGCAAATGTATTTGCATTTTTGGACATAGTATTAAAAATAAACAATATCCCACACATTTCTAAAATGTTACGCGCCGCTCTGTTGTCAAAGCCAAGATGTGCTCCAGTGGTCTTTTTGTCGTGATGTGAAGCTCTACATCCCGCGCCAGCACACCGTACCCCAGCGACATGTAGACCTCGCATGTAACGAGAGTAGCTGTAAGACTGTGAGCCAAAGGTCAGTAGATACGCCCTTGCAGTGGAGGAGACAGCTTGAGGTCGTAAACAAAACAAATCCATGAACGGCTGAGCATTTCTCAGGCTGACGCAACACATCGTTACCATCAATCTTGAAGCTGAGGTGCTCTCATCCTCGTACGCTCTGCTCGTCTTCACTCTATTCAGGTGCAGTTGCAAGGAAGTTTCGAGCGGCATGTGTTTTTGCAGCGCAGATGCGCACCCATGTGCCGCCGTCATAAGAGGGGCTAGTGACACTAGATGCGACCATGTCTCTGATATAACGATACGAGCGAAACCAAAGCTGCTGGAAACTGGCTGAGAAGGCCGCCTCTACACTTTATACTTGCGGCGGACCTTCATAAATATTTTTTGTAGAGTGGTTTTTCCCTCACTCCTGGCAACAGCTCTCTATTGAATAGCTGGCATAAATTTCTGGCAATTATTACTGCTCAACACTGTCACATTGTGAAGCTGACACCTTAATTTGATATTTGACCTGCAAAGGTTTCTTTTTTTAATAAAGAGCTTTGATGGTACTGTAGCATAAACATGAGGGGCTAGCACTTCTGTCAAGTTCGCCATCCTAGTGCATCCCATCAACACACGCACATTAGTTCGTGCAAAAGTCTGTCAAAAATCACTATGTTGCCAAATCAGGCCAATTGAAATTGATTATGAAAACTCAGTGGCTGTACTAACTACTAAAAAGTGATCAGTGTGTAATAAACAAATTCAACATGCCAAAATTGACGATCCAAATCATCAATCATCGGTAACCAATTTGAATAGGCGTGGTAAGGAAAGAGATAAATGGGAAACAGCTTGTAAAATTTGTATGTACCACGGTCATATTATTTGTGAACCACTTAAAATGATGAAAAGAAATGAGCTGACCCAAATACACATGTTCTTTACAGACTCGAGTGGTGCGCAAATAAACTTACCTCGCACTTGTGATCTCCTTGTTGAGGTCAATATATTGTCCTCGAACAGACCACCGGTACAGGCCTGTGCAGCAAATAGACAATGACATGATGTTTCGCCTCCTGGCTAGAATAAATCATATCTTCTGCCGCTATGCTTCACCGGCTTCACATAGTCGTTGCCTTAACTCAACGCTAGGTACACCTTATCAGTTGTGCAGACCACTGGAATTGTCAGCCTTGTAAAATGTATGAAACACTAGAACATCTATTGTGCAACTGTCCCCTTGCGTAGGAGTAGAAAAAGAAAGTTTTGAGGCTAGCTGATTTCATTGGGTGCACGTTAAAGAACCCCAGGTGGTCAAAATTTCCGGAGCCCTCCACTACGGCGTCTCTCATAATCATATGATGGTTTTGGGACGTTAAACCCCACTTATCATCAATCAGGCTAGCTGATTTCAAAGGCAAGCATTAGTTGATAGCTGTATTTTACCCACAATATTTTATCAGACGATATGAACAAGTGTCACAAGGGCAGTGTTCAGGAGCACTAGACTGAATGCTAGACCTTTTATAAATCAGTGTCCTAAGGAGGGATGGATAGCACAGACAGGTGTCCAACTACTACGGCCCGTCGCTCTACTATTCTTAAAGCAAACTTCTTAAAATTTTGCAAGTTGTTTAAATGAGATTTTACTAGATGTTTTGTGAATTTGGCAAGAAAATATTAACCCATTCTAAAAATATTAGAAAATAAATATTTTAATATTTTGATTTTGTAAAGGAACATTTGTGAAAAAAGATTTTGTTCGTAGAGTGATGAAATCTCTTCTGGTTATTACATGTGTCCAGGTTGTCCTTCTGAACCAAAATAACAAATATAGGCATGACCATTCTTTAGTTAAAAACTTATGTGTGTCATGACCAGAATTTTAGGGCTTTCTTCTTAAAGAAAAACTTTCATAAAAAATACAATTATGGTGGCAACATAATTATTTTGCTTCAGTAAAGGCGCATGTTATCTAGAAGTAAGTGACAAAAGTTTGCATTTGATAGCTGCAGTGGTTACCAAGGATAATGTTCCTTTTCCAATGAAAAGGAGTGTTAGAAAAAAACGCCATTTAAAATTTGAGTGGCCGCAGTGCAGCTTCAGGATCAGGTGCATTTGGGGCCATTTTCAGATTCTCTCTACTTCGTGTAAAATCGTGCCACTTGGTGGAAACACTGCAAGTCAATTCAGAGATATTGTCCTATAAATATGAAAAAAATCACATTTTCGGTCCGATTTTGCCCTCCATCCCTCGTTAAGTTCGTATTACCATATACAGTAAACATCATAATTACAACTTGGTTATTGTGAAATCCCACTTAATTCGGAGTCTATCCGCTGTCCCGTATTTTGCAATATAAGTTTGGGTGGATAATTTGAAGCTGCGGTTAGCACCAGTCTGGTTAATTTGAAAACTTTGGGTGCAGTGTGCCAAATTCTGATCCCGATTTCGCCGCAAAATCGCGGGAACGACAGCCCTTAAAAGCCATTTGGTAATGTACTGTAGCGATACTAAGCACGCTAACCTTCATACTTCCAGCTCGAAAAACAAAATCGTAAAAAAAGAAATGGCCACGTGATCAACTAAATTGTGCACCTGCGGAAAACATGATGTGCTTCACTGCAGCACAGCAGGGATGTGTGGGCAGCATGTCGCATGCTTCTTGCAACGTCAGAGCGTCATGATTTACTCATTCTTTCTGAGAATACAAAAAAAACTAAGAAAGGACAGTCTGGCGGAATTCGCAATGTATGCGAAGCTCTGAGTGCCAGTTGCTGTCGCAATTTTCGCACTTGCACTGCTGGCAGAGTTTTTTCCTGCAATGCCTACTTCGAAAACTCGGTTCGAAAGCTTTAATGATCATGTTTTCCAGCCAAAACACATCACTAATTTCGTTGCACTGTCCATTATTAAATTTTTTATGTTACTAGAAAAAATGTTCGTATCTTGACGTGTTGACGCAGTGAGAGACAGGCGACATGCTGCCCCCGTGTCACTGTTGTGCTGCAGTGAAGATGTATTATTTTTTTGCAGGCGCGCATTTCAGTTGGGTTATGGCGTTTTTTTGTTGTTGTTTTTGGTTTTTGCAGTGGCAGCAGTGAGTACCTACATTTTCGCTTGTTTGAGGTGAAATTGTGACTTGGTATTGCTGGAAACATAACCCTTGGAGCACCAATGATTACTTTTGAAAAATTTCAAGTTCCATCAATTTGAAAACCCGCTTACTTCGAAGGTTTCTCGCGGTCCCAGAGATTTCTAATTAATGAGGTTTTACGGTATATAAGCTATGAAATGAATAGTTGGGCTAGTTTGTATTGAGCATATTAATACATGCTTACTAGTGTTCACACGTGACTACTGCTGTCTTTATCCAATTTTTCGCTAGCTGATCATGTATTATTACGGATATATGCCTCACGTCTTCCTCTCTTTGTCATTCTACAAATTCTTCTTTGCTTTTAGTACATGGTTTCCTTCCTGGGTTCCATGGCTCAATGAGCTGTTCCTCAACATAGTCTTTGCACCACAACGCCGAAGGGTGGATTTGAGTTACCGTGTATTCAACTATGAATGCAGATTCAAGCAACATGTCAATGAATGGTCCATTCCAAGGTAAGACATAGTGGGTACGGGTATGCATATATATATATAATGTGTGGGGGGGGGGGGGGGCATGGGCTGATATGGGTATGGGTATATAAGCAGGGCAAAGGCAAGGGTCCTTCAGAGATTGCTATAGGTGCAATGCTTAGGAACCCAAAAGCCAAAGAGTGTGCATGTGTGTGTCAGCTTACTGTGTACGGTCCTTGGCTACCCACATCAGGAATTGTATTAATTCCTTACTGTACAAAGGTGCATATGTTAGCACAGCAAAATTTCGTTGTTATTGAAGTATACACGATACTGAAAGCAGGCACACATTGCGAATTAGCTAGTAAAGTGATTGAAAGGTTTTGGTATGTGTGTTACAACTGAGGCCATCACACAGAGGATTGTACGCTGAGTTCCTTTTAACACGAAAGTGTTTCTATGCTGGGGTCCGCCACAGGTTCCGCTGGCGTATTTCCGCCACGGATATGATGTTGTAAAATGTATTGTAACAGGTTGTAAAAAAAAAAAAGAAAGAAAGGATCTGTTGCGGGGCATCGAACTAGCCGTCCTCTTTATGCCACAGCGCTGTAGTGCTAACCACTGCGCCACAGGAGCATTCGTTGTGAAGGATGCTAGACGGCAAGCCATTTATACTACATTGTACACTGTTTGACGGTTCTCAGAGCTTCGTAACTTTAGCTCATTTTTGTCATCAGTAGTCAGAGGGCATAAAGGTCTCGTGTTTGGCGTGCTTTCAAGGTCGTTGCCTCTAGCGTTTCGATCAGTGCCCCCTCCTCAGAGTGTGGCCTCTCCGGCACGTGCGCTTATCAGGCTCGTGATTCGAGAGAGCATGATGGTCACTTCGCTCACTGCCAAGGCCGCGTTTATAAAAGGAGCACGCTGCTCACACATGCAGAAGTAAGAATTTAACAGTTGCTTGCGCTTGTCTTGTGTATACTTGGGCGTTCGTTTTGTGGGTCTTTCTTTCTGTTTGTATAGCGCACCTCAAGTGTCGAGCAATGACAGTTGCTAGTCCTGCACACATCCTGTATATGCTCATTTCGTGCATGCTTTCTGCTTGAAGTGTGCGCTGCAAGTTCTGAGCTGGTTGTAGTTCTTTCACGTGATTTTGCAATTTGTTGCTGTAGCATTGATTCCTTCGCCTTTGTGGTGAAACAATGCACAAAGACCGCTCAACTGCCTTTGTGAAGGCATGTTTAACTTTCGTCTTATACCGATTCCTAAAAGAGAGATCAATCACATTTTTTTTTTCACAATTGCTAACAAATCACTAGTATTTGGCTTTGAGGTCACAAAGTTAGGTCAGGGTAGTAAGTTCGTTGTGTGTTTGATTTGGCATGATTTAGTGGATGTCGTATGGATGCTATTGATGTCATCTTTTCCACTCTGGTGAAATTCTCTTATAAAATGTGCCCATAGCTCAGGCTGGTGCGTTCAAATTTTCACCATCCATCTGCTTTCCGTGACCTACTGAACTCCTTACCTGCCCAGCAAGCAGAGCGCTAGTTCACAGATGTTGGCTTTTTTTTCGGGCCACTGGGGTCTTTTTGCCATGGTTTTGGCCCTACTAGTTACCGCAACTGTGTAGCACCTCCTGTCTTTGTGCTCGCACTTAGTAGAGATGGGGTGTCAGCATGCACTCTCTACAGAGGAAGAAAAATTTTGAAAGTGCATTCAGAAACGTTAGCGATACGTATTGCCATTTATTATTTTGATGTATTCAGATTTCACCTGCAAAGACTGTTCGCAGCCTTACATTGCACCACTCTGTTTCAGAAGCTTCGTGATTATTTAAGATCATTCTATTAAGATTGTGCACAGGATGCAAATAGTCTAATTTATGTGGGATCTAATTCGGCCACCACTGATAAGGCTCGAATGTTTGATGATGCATGTATAAATGCCAACGCTTCTTAATGCAGATCAGTTTTATTGACGTCCAAGGTTCTGGTTGCCGCCATAAGTGTACTGCGTGTATTGCTGTAGTTTGAGTTTTCGTTTCCCAAGCAAATGTTTGCTTAAATAAAGAGTTTCGCTGTAGACTTGCTGACTGCTGCCTTAATCACCGCCATGACCACGTGTCATTATAGATGTGCACTTCAGTTCTCAGTGACGTGTGTGCATAAGAATTCGGTTAAGGTATTTTGCAGAAAAGGTGAGTCGGACACACCTTTAGAATTCCACGTTTTTTCCTCAAAGGCGGATATATACAAGCCGGCCCCAATTGGCAGGCACTCTGCACTGACATCATCAGTTGGGCGGCTGGTAACTCCGTCTTCTGAGAATATTGCCAAGTGCACGAGCGGGACTAGTATTGCTGTAGTCGCAAAAGCGATCAGCTGGCGTGTTTTGGTCATCTGTGTGGGGCTGATTTGGAATTGCTAAGTGATACCCAACATTAAAGTTACTACTTATTTGACATGCAAAAACATTGATAAAAGCATTATGAAATTATACGTACATGTTGTAGAAATGACAATGTGAACTCGCACGTCAAGCTGTGCTTAGCAAAGCTTCGTGAATCAGCTCACCAACACTTCGAGTCATTCTTCACTTGAAAGATAAACAAAACAAGCAAAATAAAAAATGGAATTATGAAGGATTCAGATAATGCACCCGTGCTATTGATTCCTTAGTAAATAATAATGCACCCCTGTGATTGATTCCTTGAAATATTGGATAAAAATCTACACGAATATTCACACTATGAGAGGCATCGCTACAGCTCAAAAATACGTACTAACTCATTACTATTATGAAGAAGCAAAGCACTTGCACACCACTCGATGCTGTGCTATCATGCATTCCATCAACACACTGATTGGGTAAAGGGAGGCCGCAGCAAGAGCCGATGCAGGCACGTCCGCATAATGTCGCCAGCTGGCCAGGTCAAGAGTACAGTAAGTTGTGTTTTTTTTAGGCCAAACTTGCATACTTTATGAAGATTGATACCATAGCCACGTGTTCTACATTCATCCAGACCTGTTGTATTTTACCAGTATCGCTCTTTCAGTTGCACAGAGCAATTGATCGTGCACATGTTGCGTTACTGTCTGCATTATGGCATAGCATCGAAACTGTCGAGGTGAAGAAAGAGATAACAATTCTTGCTGTCTTTCTCTCTGCTTATGGTGGTCCTGTGAAATCAAGAGAGAACACTGCCCTCGCACTGTGTAACTGAAGGAGTGGATCGACAACACTCCAGGTGTTTACGTGCACATACCTGTGGAAGTTCGTTTTGTCCAAGCCGACGACATTTACCTGAGCCCTGCTTCTGGTCGGGACAGCTGCTACATCAACGTCATCATGTACAGGTGAGTCTTTTTGCTGGCTGGAGACGGTGTGCACAGTTGCCAACTGGACACAGTGCAAGTAGAGCACTGCTGGTACAAAGACGTCTCATAAAAAGTTGTCAGTTTCACTTAGAACGGCTCATATTACAATACTGGCAACCTTATCACCTAGGACCTTTGAAACAATTGTAAAGAAAAATCTCCTTTCTGATAGTGACCAAGCTGTGCATAATGGTTGGCTCTTCCAGGTGAGACAGCCACGTTAATGATCCATTGTTTTTACTGATAAGCAATATCTTCTTACATTAAGCTGTCATCCTCAAGGTTTCTGTGTGTCGTAAACAGAATATATCACTATCATGTGCTGGCACTGAGCTTTCTTCGCCCTCTTCTGCTTCGCTACCAGGACACATGCATTGGTTTTTTCAGGGTGGGATAGAATAGCACGGATGGGCGAGTGAACCACTGAAAAGAGAGAGATGGAAATATGTACAGAGAAAAAGAGAAATTCTACACGAAAAAATTTCTCGGTTGGACAAGATTCAATCTTATGTATCCACAATCAAAGATGAGGAGGGGGGGGGGGGGGGGACAAGGCAGGGAGGTTAACCAGAAAGGCATCATAGCTACTTGGATATCAAGGCACACTAGTAGAGCATAGCATAGCCTTGTATAGTATAGTACTATAGCAAGAGGGTGGGAAAGGGAATTGAGGGTGATTGGAAGAGATTCGACACTGTGGAAGGTAAAGGAGGATGGGAAGAAGCAATGCATAGCATAGAAGGGAAATAGGAAGAAATTGAAAAAAGAGGAAAGACCGTAGAGAGAAAGAAATGGAGAGGGAGATTGTGATGGAAAGCGAAAGCGAGAAATAAAGGAGGGGGGAGAAAAAGAGGAAGAAGAGAACTAAAGAGCAATAAAAGAGAAGGAAATAGATAAGAGAACAAAAGAAATAGTAATAAACACAGATGAAAAAGCTGAAGAGAGCAAGCATGGATCATGTACAGCATAATTTTTTAATATAACGAGGGTGGGAAAAAGGGAGGGTAAGAGCCTAGCCAAGCCATGACCAGCAATGGGCTCACCAGCTCTGCTGTGACACAGCCTTGCGTGACTCAGTGCTGGCTGTACTAACTTTTTTTATATATAATTGTAGCTGTATCAAGGCCCAGACACATCAGCAGAAGAATGCCCATGGCACACTGATGGTGGCACAACGCAAGCCTCCAAAGGTGCCGTGCAGCAGCATTTCCATGTCCGATAGAAATGGGTCCGTGTACCAAAAGGGTGGAAAAGGCACCACACTGATCAGAGCGGCTCCTTTGCCCCTTCCATGATATACCCCTGCCCGAATATTGTTTTACCTACTGATGGGAATGCTAGTTTAGTGCTGGTTTGGCTTAAAAAATTCTGTTTTTTGGGCATAGGTTTGAACAGAGGTGTAGTAATGAAAAAGTGTTTATAACAAGTGCTCGTACATCTCATTCTTTTTACAAGTAGGCCTTTCTTTGACAATGCACAACCAAGGCAGTAAGACCCGGTTATGCACGCTTTCAACAGAACCCTCTCACAACTGAGGCAGTAAAGCCAGTTACGCACACTTTCAACAAGACCCTCTATGACTCAACACAATCCTCTTTAACCACAAAATAATTCATTATCAGGTTTGCTGTATTCAGTCCAAGATCTTGCAAATCAGACAGAGATTGAGTATTGTCAGAAAACGCTGCCAATCAGGTAGTCGAGGCTTGCAAAAGCCTGTGAGCCAAATATTGTACACTTCATTTGGGACCTTTAAGATGGTGCTTTGAAAGCCATGCGCAGTGCCACTTGTGGTGCGGCGGGTGCGCAACATTGAGAATCGTATAGAGACAGCAGCGCCGCATTGCTTTGACAGCTGTGGTGGAAAAAGCGCCCAGTGGCCGGTGCTTTGGCTCTTAGAGCAGAATTTAACGATATTGTAGGGAGATATTCTTCTGCTATGCCACTATAAATAAATAGAAAACCTGCACGAAAGTCGCCATGTTTTCCGCGTTAGTGAGCGCCTTGCTGCCCGTCGTCAATACTGACGGCAGATGCTTGTGCCAGGTGTGTGTAATGCAAGATGATTGCTTTCTAACTGTCGCGGTAAGCTGTCATTTTTTTCACACTTAGAATATTACTGATGCATGAAAACTACTCATGCACCTGCTGTATACTCGGAGCATTTATAAATATTGATGGCTCCACAGTCCTTTGTCGTGAAAATCATGGTGAGTGACCAGTGGCGTGCTCGTATGTTGCGGCTTTGTGCCGCGATCATTTTCAGCCACCGAGTCTCATGATTTGTTTTGCTTGAAATTGTCGCGGCATCAACCCTTGCTCATCATGATCATGGTCTTTAATGCACCGCTCGTGCAGCTGTGCTAAGAGCAAGAGGCAGCAAGAGGCGCGGGCGAGAAAGAGACTGCGCTACGATTTCGGCCAAAGAGGATGCCGCAGCCGCGTTTCGTCTTTCACTTCTCCTTGTAAAGTGGCGATCACTTCAGCCACATTCATAGCCTATCCCCCAGAGTGGGTTGCGCCAAGATGTTGAGGAACCAACCAACCAACCTACCAACTTCGGTCACGGCCACTTCGGCCACGGTGTCGTCTCTCATTCGCTACAACCTTTTGCGTTATGTTGCTTTCCAAAATACACATTCGTCGCTACAGCATCGGCAAAGCTTCGTCTTTCATCCTGTAGTTCTGCTCCTCGCCCTGCTCATTTCTTCCTAACATGCACATTGTTTACCAATCAAAGAAGAAGACTTCTGGATAAACCATTCCGAGGGATGGGATTCATATAATCACTTTCGGGCATTTTCTCCTTTGGGGCTATAGCACTAAGTTTTAGCCAGTGGAGCGTTTGCCATGACGAAGTGCGATTTACTATGCGAGATGAAATGAAGTGAATGCTAAGGTTATCTAAATCAAGCTTATTCTTCAATAGCAGTTAGTACTTTTAATTCGATAATTAAGATAATTACTTGTTTCAGGAAACTATCTATTGCTAAGCATTTTGAGATTATCAACAAATTTCTTTGTATATATAACAAGGCACCGCCAATTTCATGGCCAATCCCCCATGCTGGGCTGCAACAGTTTAATAAGGACCAACTAGCCCATAAAAGTCTTAGCTTGACCATACCGAGTGTGCATTGCGCTGTTGGGTGACTAGTTTTGTTCATGGTAATAATGCTATGTAACTCACGAAAGATCTTTGCACTTGCAGAGGTAGTGTTTGAGACCAATTTAAAAGAGCACTGACATCAAATTTCAAGATCGAGATGTGCCCATCATTTGATTCGCTTGGTATGCATCCGTCGCGTGGAAGTTTATAATTAATTCGATGTCAAACAGCATAAAAAGCTAAGGAGAAAAAATGGAAAATAGACTGCCCTGCGACATCGACACTAGTGCTATGTGTTCGGTGTGATACATTCCACAAATACCATCCTGAGTGATAATGCTTTAGTAGCAATGACGTGTACAATCTGAGTGTTCTTATCGTGTGCGGAAGCGCAGAAGCGCACTCGCTCGTTGCGTCTGATCTTCATCGCACCGGTTTGAATGATCTTGTGAAATTATCAAGATAAAAAGCACCTTTAAAAGAACTGGCGAAAGAAAAGAGCATGATTAAACGTATGCTTGTCGTTCAGCATGTCTGGGAATGGTTGTGAGTTGCAGGTGAGTTGCAATCGTCTGGTTCGAAAGCACGGAAAAAGCGCAATGCGGGTGTCTTTTCATATCACATATGTATTGCACATCAACACGACCACAAGCTATCAAAAGTTGCACAGCATATAATCAGATATCATCGCTAACAAGTAACTTGCAGGTATCGTTCAATTTTAGTTCATCTGTAGACTTTGCGTCCACGTAGAAGTGGTAAGTACCATGTTAACCGCGAGAGGCTAGATAGGTGGGGCCATCTTGAGGTGCAAAAAAGAACCTGGTGAGCAGGAAATGTATTCAATTTTTCCCGCTGATGCTCATTCACATATATCTGCATATACCTGAATGCTTTGCACGCCAAAACACACCAATATAGCTAACTGCGACACACGTGTGAACATGGCTGAAGCGTGCATCCTCGGGCACCTCTGCAGTGCTGCTTGGAACGGCGTCCATTTCGGAATCACTGCTCTGCAAACGGTCGATCGAAGCAAAAATACTTCGCGACGTCGCGAATCGCGGAGATTCCAAGCTCCAGACTATCGTATTGAACCCGAGTCGACACTTTGTACGGCGACAATAGCAATGCAGGTGACGAGGAATGACTGAATGTGCCCGCCTAGCAGACTAAATGTTTGCGGAGCGGCTGAGCCTGACGTTACTCGTATCTGTGGAGAAGTGGTCTGCTGTGGCGTTATCTGGAGGTGACCGCGAAGTAGCGCCACTGCTGGTACTCCCAGCGCTAGAAATTTCTAGCGCTGGGAGCACCAGCAGTGGCGAGATTGCCCGCCGTTTTGAATAGTGCTAGATACCAATGATATAAATCATTAAAAGTGATAAATATTCATTCCTTCAGTTGCGTTTTAGGTCGTGAATCGCTGTTACGGGGTCTATAGCTACTCGGTGATACGAAAAAAATCTTGGCATGAGTAAATTTGAAAGCAGTGCTCCTTTAAGCAGCAGAGCGAGATCCAAACAAAACACTTTCTTACGAACCAAACACTTTTTTACGTCTCACAACTGTGATCCATTTATTTCACTGCCCAATAGAGCTGGGACGATCCGAGGAACTGTAAAACATTGCTCCCGAAGGACACGACAGGTACTTTTTGGAGCAATAGACTACGCAGCAGTTCATGATTTCGATAAAATATGTACTAATAGGCGTTGTGAGAGCGTTTGGTTCTGCTCGGGCTCTCAACAGCTGTTTGCTCTGACAGCCGCGGGACAGCGCGCAAGTCGCTGTGCACAGAGTGTATACTGCAGCATGCGACCTGGAATTTACGATAAATTCTCAAAGTCAGCTAAAGGTCGCTTTCTTTTTTCTCGACAAATAATGTTACGAACTCAAAAATCACCGAGTCACAGGCCAAGTATCAGCCATCGACTGATTTGAGTAAGGTCACTCGGTCGTTAGTAGAGCCACCGCAGGAGGTTATGACTTGTCCACGCGTGCCCCCACAATCACACTCTAAAGCTATGCATTTCCAGATATAAAGAGAGAAAATAGCTTAAGGTCATGAGGTGCACATGGTATATTTTTTTCTGCATGCCATCCCTCTCTGCTTAGCTTCTAGTGCTTTTGTCGGAACGAGAGAAGAGAGAATGCAGTTGCAGCGTGTGGCATAGCTTTGCAACTCCGCTCGTACTGGTTAGATTCTAAAAATATTGCGGGGATGAATTCATGAGGTGACAAGCTCCTTTAATGAATCCATTCGACGGCTACTTGGAGTGTTGCAGGGCCCCTTTAAATGCATTATTGGTGAGCCACACCTTGTGTAGGAATGGAAAACAAAACAAGTGTCTTCAGCCAGAAGAACGGTGCATCTTATATAGCCAAGAAAATAGGTGAAACCACTTAGTTGACTTTCATGAAATGGAAGTTTGACTTTCATGAAATGAAAGCTTATTTGCTTAATGTTATCCATTTTGCGAAGCCCATAGTGCCACAAAGAACAAAATATGTCGTCTTTCTGATGGTCGATAGTGCATTTGATGTTCTGCTTTTATCGAACAGCCCCTCATGAATTGAACATGGAACATACAAAGCCACAACTTCAAACACACTTGGGTTTGCCCCAACATGAAAGCCGTGGTCTGAATTCGCATCATGCAGTATAGTAAACATCAGTTAATTTTTTAATGCAGTTAATTCCTTTATTACTCATTGCAGTGAAAGAAATGGGGGAACTCCTAAGCTTCGTCTTTGAGAGCTGAACGCGATTGCAATATTTTGTCTCTAGTACGTACTTCAAACACTTAGTGCATACTTTTTATTGTATGACGTCACGCGAGAACTTTAAGTTGTGGATTACTGCAATGTAATCAATAAAGTTGAAAATGGCTTGTCTCAGTGCAGCTTTCATGTATGGCTGCATTCAGTGTAATAGGTAGCATGCTTTAAACCATGAGCAATTATGTGTGTGTAATCTTTTTGAACTTGCTATGCTCCCACTACGTGGTCATAAGGCAATATACACAGTAACGTGTGTGCCTTTTTAATGTATGGTCAGCTTTATACCCCGAAGTTGTTATGATAATTGCATGTTCTGACGCCGGATCGCTTGTACCACTCAGTATTGCTGAGTGGTACAATATTACATATATTCTGAAGCTTGTAACAGGATGTGTGTGTTTGTAAAGCATCAAAGCTATTTTCTCTGTATATCCTAGCAGACACGTGGTTGTGTGTTGGTACACCTGCTTGCCACGCAAATTGGTAGGGTTTAACATTCCATAACCACGGTATGATTATGAGAGTCGCAATTGTGCAGTGTCTGCTGCCATTTATTGAACATCAGTACTATATACTTTGCCGCTTATTTCACCATTCAAGTGTTGAGCACACATGGCATAATTATTGTAGCATAACCCTTCTTTATTCTACAGTAAAGTATTTTATAAAATGTGCTGTTTGCATATTTCTGTGGTAGCCACATTTTTCTGTAGTAGCTACATTTTTCTGTGATAGCCACATTAGCATGAAAGCAGTTCCGATAGCTTTGAGTAATTCAACTGCAGGACTGTACTTTCTGCCACCTTAAGAAAATTAGGCAACTTTGGTTACCCCACTTTGTTTCTGTTCTTGTGTGCTTGTTTTTGCTTAGTTCAGTAGCAGTGTGTTAGTTCTTCTCTTGATAGGGGTCCCTCTTCCAGGCCTTATGGAAAAAAAGTGCCTTATGAGCATTATTGGGCTGTCTATGAGAAAATCATGAAAAGTCTTGGTGGTCGACCTCACTGGGCTAAGGTAAGAGTGCAGCATCGGCGCAAGTTAATATGGCGTCCATTAACATTGTTTGCTTTGTTCATTCGCTCATTCATTTTTTTTGTCATTAGAGCTGAGAATCTCAATACAATAGCACAGGCTTCAGTAAGCCCCACTTGTTCATCCTTAAAAAGGCCATGGTCAGTCAGTGATTTCGACAGGCACAACTGTACTCTGAGAATCGCATTATCTGCTAATTTTATCAGATGCTTCCGTTAGATCAAGTCAAACCAAGTAAACAAATCTTTATTTTTCTGTTTATACAAAATACAAACAAAGGGGTCATTGAAAAAAAGCTGCCCAGTGAACTTGGCAGGTGCACCGCTGTATTAGCCTTGAGGTGCAGCTGATACAAAGGAAAATATTTGCGAAAAATTTTGAAATATTTTTGTATATTATCGCATTATTCCAGAACCCTTGGAACTAATACATGGCAGATCATCATATAGATACTGATGGACATTGATAACTAGAAAAAGTGGCTCTTAAGCACTGCCTACCAAAGTACAGAAGAATAGACCCAGCATCATTATTTCTCCTCTGAATTTTCTTCGGCTAAAGGATCACGTGCTACATAAGGCCTGCTTGGCAAAAGAAAGAGAGTGGTACACACACCAATTTGGCTACGAGCGGCACTGGCTAGAAAACCCAGGTTTGCATGCACATAAATATCCAATAAAGTAAATAAGGAGACAAGCACAGTGGTAGCTCAATTGGTAAAATCATTGGGCACGTGATCTGAAGGCTGCAGGTACAGGTACCTGGACGCATGGTTCGAGGCAGGGCAGCATGGTTTTGAGAGTCCGGTTGACCGCATAAACTTCAGCAGCACCTTCGACGCTTTCTGGCTGGAAAGTCTAACCTTCCGGCACTCCTAAATTGACTGCTTTGGAAGTGGCCAGGTCATTCGAATTGTGCTAACATTGCCGAAAGCTGTGGTCTTAGCAATAATGAGGATAGTCACAAAGGACACGGGCAATGGTTTTCTCACTGCCGCAGTGATAACACGCAGCACTCTCAGCCATTTCGATTCAGTAAGCAAAACTGTTCGTGAATGTCACTCCGAGCCACAAGTGACAGAGAACAGCTGTTTCGGATTGGTATTGTCCGGATGGAATTTGAAGTTGAAATAATGGATCTAAACGGCGTAGGCAGGTGTGCAAGGAAACCTGTAGTTCTTGAAAGGTTGCTGCTCGATCGAACCAGTCATCCATAGCAGTTGTGTGCACTTATTAGGCATAGCGCTTGTAAGAAACGCTGCACAGATGATAGAAAGGTACTGAACTTCCAACTGTTTATTTCATGCCTTTCATACCCATTTTATGCATGTTTGAAAAAAAACTTTTTTTGCAGATGTTCTCATCCCATGAAACATTATTTCGTTCTCTGACACATCTAATATGATCTGATTTGTATAGCTGTATCATTAGCGGCTGGAATAAGAATCAGCTCACCCACGAAATGAAAGAAGTAGAAGCTACAGCAGAATTGGGAAATGTGTGTGAGCTTGCCATAAATTTCTTGGTTAGAAAAGAGAGCGACGTTTCTTGGAATGAGAAGATGAGTTATGTTTTCTCGTGTGTGTATAAAATGTGGGTGAAGGACATGAAATAACACTTGGAAAGTTAGGGCCCTACCTATCTCAGTCTAGGGCCGTGTTTCTTACGTATACCGCGCTAATACACGCTACAGCACTTACATTGTGTAGACACACATGCTTGATTTCTTTCATATAAGGCTTACTATTTTAAATGCAAAGCATTTCCTAGCGAACTTCGGCGAATTTGAGCGTTTCTGTCTGTCTGTCTATCTGTCTATCTATCTATTCGCTTACGTTTGGGTGCTCTTGTGGTCACCCCTTCAACTTGGCGTGAACCAAATTCCAAAATTAATATGCGAGGGTAAGATGGCTTGACAAATATGACGCACTGCTCAAGACATGAGTAATGTCACAATCCGCGTATGTCATCAAACAATTCCCGCCAGACAGTGGCACATACCCACTGGCATGTATGTGCCGCTGGTATGCGGGTATGTGCCACAGGTTATTGACACTTAGTATCTACTCAGGAACGACGAGAACACACATGGGCAATTTTAACGCGTGAGGGTTAAGCAATACCCGATATCGGTAGCATCGACCTAATGAATTCGCATAGAATGTCAGTGTAAAGAAAAACCCGACATATGCAGCGTTAACCCCCCAACGAATGCCATCGAATGCAAATAATAAATTTCAGGGTCCCAGCAAGAATCGAACCCAAACATTCTGCATGGCAGTCGGGAATTCTACCACAGAGCTACGCCAGGTCTCGGAACTACTTTTCAAATAGACGCTAATCTTCGTGAAACGTCAATAGTGGTTGCAGTGCTGCCTACCTAATTTCATAAACATTATACATGTACTCATTTGATGCAGCCATCACGTCGAGTTTACGTCAGTTGTAGTTAGGTGCCATGCACTGAAGTTGATTTATGTAGCAGTGTTCAGGGCCGGCATCTTTGCGAACATCAGCGCTTCATATCAGCTTCTGGTGTTGCTGATATGCATGTTCCAGTTGACATCGTTGCTCAAGTGCACCAAACAACTGGTTATATAAACATCTGAAATCTTCAACATATGTCTGTGCGTACAACATTTGTACATGTATTTAGCATCATTTCATCACGTGTTGCTCAATAAAAAAAAATTGCAGCACGGTCCGCATGCTTCGTATAACCACGATTCCCAGGTACGTGGGATCTACTGAATTTTTTTATTCTGTTAATTTCTGATCATATTACATATTAATTTATATTATCCTTCGTGCACTTAGAAAAGAGAACATTTATACTTAGCATATGCGATATACCTAGTGCACTGTATTAATAATAATATTGTTATTTTCTTGAACTTATTTTCGTACAACTTAAGTGCCTCAAAAATGTACAAGGCAGAAAGGCACTTTTTCGTGTGACCTTGTCGTAGTCACTGCCCATGGCAAGGCTTCAGAAAATGTTAAATGTATACTGTACTTACAACTTTCCTAATTTGTTTTTATGTTTTGTACAAATGTAAATAATCACATTGTAGAATTTGGTCATTTTTATGTCCACATTATCTTTTCTGCCTGTAGGTTTCTATATATTGTATTGTTTAATCATTTATTCTAAACTATGTTGTGTATATTACTTAATGAATGAACAGCACAAGGGCTGCTTAGTTGTTCCTGTGCGCTGTAAGAATTGTTTAATTAATTAAAATCTTTTATTTGAAATGTGAAAACATGAGAAGGTAGGCTAACTATTCCAGCATCATGAGGTTGATATTGAGTTAAGAAATAAATGCAGAAAAAAACAAATAGTTAAAAACACTATATACACATGTGATCACCGGTAGGCAAGTAACGTCTTCGTGGGCAAAGTTTATATACAGTGGATGGCCACCCAGACTAATGCACATAAAGTCTGTACAAATAGTTTTCATGCTCATACAGGCAAAAGGACAAATGAGATGTATCGGTTGATATTATGTTACAGTTTTCAAGGCAAGGTACTTGCTTGCCTAGAGTTTGCCTTCTTTTTCAGAGCACTACCAAACAAAGAAATAAAGCAGGCTGCTACAAGTATTATTTATTATGATCACTATAATCATCAGTGTAATTAGTAGCAGTGTTTGCAATGGCATTTCGCTGGGCCACCTGGTAAAGAAGTACAGTAGGCTTTTCCAAGAAGCTATTCTCTAGGGAAAGCTTTGAGTTTGATTGACTGTGCCACTTAGACATGATTATGACAGATGTATATAAAGCACCGAGAAAACGAAAATTATCTTCCGGTACATTATTGTGTCAGGATTTATTTATCTATTGTCAATATTGAGTGCGGTTGGCTTATTTACACTTTATTCCCACTACCCTCTGCTAGGATTACGATGCAACTTCAAAGGAGCTCCGAGGGATGTACCCTAACTTCACTAAGTGGTGTGCCATTCGCGAGAAGTTGGACCCCCAAGGCATGTTCTTGAATCCTTACATGGAAAGAGTCCTGGGCTCATGAAAGTAGTGTTGGGGCCACGTGATGGACATTCAGTGACCTTGATACTAGGATGATCGTCGATGTTTCTCTTTGTTAAGCAGTAGACCGTATAGTTGTGGCACGCGGAAGAAGCTGTGTACGGGTGATTTGTGTAATAATAAAAAGAAGCACCGTGAATTTGTCGGGTCTCCGAGTGATGTTGGGGGGTGGCAGTGGTCGCCCTTGTACGGCGTGGGGGGCCGGCGTTGTACGTCTTCCTTTTGACGCGTTCTTTTCACGGCGACCTCCGGGGCGACCTTGCTTCGCGTAAGCTCAGCTGTGTCAACAGCAGCAGGCGAGCCACGCTGCCCTGGACTGGTTTTTTCTTCGACTGCGAACTTCGCTCGGGCGCCGCAAGGGGGCCCGGCGTCGCCGTGCGCTCCGTTCGTCTGCTTCAGGTGTTGGCGTACGCGGCGCGACGCGTGTGCCGTTTTCTTTTGAGCGTCGCGTTATCGCTACCTGTTCGCGTGAACGAGTTTTCTTGTTTGTGTTTTCTGTGGCCGAGTTTTTTTATCGTCGCGGGAAGAAGACCCGCACCGAGACCATCCAGCGACGACGGGTGGCGGCCCTGCACCTGCGACGAGGTAAGCTGCGATTCCCCGTGTCTCCGTGCAGCCGGCGGTTACCAGTCGGCGGCGAGTTAGCAGGCGTGGGGTGAGAGAAGCATCCGAAGCTCACGTCAACATTGGGTGTCCCCGATTCCGAAACGAGTTGTTCTTCTGTCGAGACCTCTCTCCCTCTGGCGGCGGGGACATTCCGAACGGTTGTCTTGTGTGTGTGCAAGCGACGAAAACAAGCAAAAGTGATCGCGCTCACTCACTCTCAGAACACACTGACTGGCCGGCCGGCCGTAATATCGGCGCGCCCCAATTGCCCGATTACAAAGCCGAGTGGGGTCTGCTGGCAGAGCGCGCAGTCGCAACTTGCGCGACCTTTCATCCGGCGCTGATAACCGTGTTTGGAGATCGTTCGCGGAGCACCGTCTCTGGTTCGCGTGCGCAGCCCTCCTGCTGCTGCTGCACGGAGACGAGCAACTTCTTTCGGAGCAAACGTAGATAGAAAACAAAGAAAACGGGGGGGGGGAGAAAGCGATGCTCATGACGTCACGGCCATTATGGCGACCCGCGTGGAAGCTTCTTCACCTGTTGCGGAATCCCGCAGCGGACCACCGCGTTGCGCGCGTGACTTCAATGCCAACGGTTCGGCCGCTGCTTCGAGGACTTGTGCCACGCTCAGTGTCCACCCGGGAAATACTCCGCCGGCAGTGCACGTGCTTCCCATTCTGGCCAGAGCAGCACCTTTCGTGAAACTTGTCGCGGACGAAGCGCCGCAGCAGAGCCAGTCTTGCGAGTCGCCGCAACAAGTGTTGTGGACAAGCTCGACTGTGGGGCTGCTTAGCGCGAAGTCTTGGTTGGTTAATGATGCCGTCGTCGGTATTTGTCGCTTCAGAGCGGAGTGGCCTAAAGCCCCCTATAATTTTCTAGGGGTTTTAGAATGTGCTTTTTTTCACGAGACTAGCCTGCGCACACGCAGCGGCGGTGACGTCACGCGCGCCATGATTTTTGGTGGTCACTGGGTGCCGACATTTGCATATTATCACGATAAATACCTGGCCTTCGACATTATTTTCCACTGACAACTTGAGAGGCCACTGACCCCCCAGTTACGATTGTGGCCATCTACACCGGAGTAATAAATCGATCGTGCTACGCTGCAAATAACTTGGGTCCCTAAGTCGCGGGTTCAACCCGGTCCTGCGGCGGTCGCATTTCAACGGAGGTGTAACGCTAGAGGTCCGTGTGACGTCAGTACACGTTAGGGGACATTATTATTATTATTATTATTTATTATTATTATTATTAGACTCGGTTGCGGTATCCATTAAGAAAGTACATCTGCGTGGGGTCTGTGACATTCGTATTGTCAGTGTCTCGAGCGCAACAGTACTGCCTCCGTTGCACTGCCCGAACATCGCGTTAGGTGTCCGATTTTCACCGTGTTCACGGCACTGCACCATTTCACTGAAAGTTGTCTGTTCAACTTACAACGCGCCATTGACATGGATTTATCTGCGCCTGCCAGTTTGTCGCCCCCGTCTCTGCAGGGTTCTGCGACGTGAAGGTTCGCGTGGCTCTGCGGAATGAGCTCAATGAAAAAAACACTGGGTGAAGTAGCTAAACACGCCATTCTTAATTTTCTGTGTATACATAACTTGGCGTAATCGTTTTGTATAATTACTGATATTTTTGAAATTTGGGATTTGTTTTTACATAAATTTAATCGAGCGCGAAAATGTCTTATAATTTTGTAACTCTTCTCTGTGTAGCCTACTCTGTTAGGGCTTATGCAAATTTATAAAACCTTTAAATTCTAGACCAGTATGGCACACAAGTCGTGAGCCACAGTTGATAGGTGAACAACTTCTACCCGCAGGTCGCGGGATTGAATCCCGGCCATGGCGGCCAAATTTTCGCTGGAGGCGAAAATGCTTGGGGCCCGCGTGCTTAGATTTGTGCAGGTTAACCCCCCCCCCCCCCCCCCCACGGGGAAGGGGTCGAAATTTTCGGAGGCTTACTGTGTCTCGTAATCGTATGGCGGTTTCGGGACTGTAAACGCCAACAATTATTGTAAGTGAACAACCTCTATGAATGTCGCGCGCTGACAAAACAATTTATTTGATATTTTATTTTGACATACTGCGGGCCAACGTTTCGTTCCTAACAGGAGATTGATTTCATTGACATGTGGGGTTTAAAGTCCCAAAACCACCATGTGATTATCAAAGACGCCGTAGTGGAGGGCTCCGGAAATTTCGACCATCTGGGGTTTTTAACGTGCGCCCAAATCTGAGCACACGGGCCGACAGCATTTTCGCCTCCATCGGAAATGCAGCCGCCGCAGCCGCAACCACCGTGGCGGGGCGGTGGTCTAGTGGCTAAAGGTACCTTTTTCGTTTCTCCAAACAGGAGAGGCGGAAAAAAGACATGAATTCGTTGCACAAAACACTCATCGGTGTGCTAAAAAAGGACAGCATATCTGGGAAACTGCAATGAAATCACAACACATTTCAACACTAAACACCAAATTAATAATTTTCCGATGATATAGCAATATTTTCAGTTGCGGAAAGCTACTAAAATGTTCGATTTCAATCTTTAACTGTTCGGGCAAAGTAACCGTGTTTGTAACCATTAGTTCGTGCAAGTATGGGTGCCAGTGATTGATCGTGTTTACGACTCTTTTCCTTATAGCAGCGGCTTGTTGGAGACAATGCTGTTATAAACCGGTGTTGTCACTCATACATGCTACGATGGGTCAGTCGCGCTATTTTCGCACAACTTTCACGGCTCCTGTCGTAAACCTCGTGTTGGCGCTGTCGCGTGCGAGTACAGTCGATATTTGTATTTCTCTTTAAATATCCAGATGCGCAGAGCCGCTGGCAGTGGCTACAGCTTTAACAAAAGGGTACGTCGCTTTCAGTGTAAAATGCCGGAGTTGAACGAACAGCTGGTTCTTTGGCGACGAGAACAATTTCCGCCTCTTTGTGCCCTCCTCACGACTGAAAAAGAAACGTGGGACGGCGTCCTTCGCGCTTGTGATCCACCGTGATGCGACGGGTCGTGCTGTCCCGTGATAATGGTGCACGTGACCTTGGACGAAAAGCACGCTTGAGCGAAATGAAGCAAGAAAAATATATCGCTAGTGAAAAACTCTATTTTCTCGCATATTACCCGCCCTTGCATACAGCCCGCACTCCTAACTTACAGGGACACCGAAGAGAATCGGTGAGTTGTTTTAGATTGATAAAATGCACTCACGAGAACTCTATTGTCATATGTTTCGCTATCATTAGTTCGTTATCATGGGGAAAAAAATCAAGACTGAAGATTCGTTTTTGAATTTCGCGCCGAAATCTCCGCGCGTGCCCTAAAAAATTTCAAAATGTATTTGAGATACTTTTGTGACATTGGCGCGATGAAACTTTCTAAAACTTCGTATGCTAACTCTGTGGCACCACATATTGCAATATACATCAATTCTATCGATTAGAAGCTGCGTATGACCCAGTAGACCCTTACAAAATTTATGACGCCATGGGTTGAAAATCTCAAGTTAGCGTCTCTCCCGGTACTTTTTCTTTTCGCGCGTTCTCTCGCCTACTAAGCGTCGTGTCGCGGTGTCTTCGGGATTGTGAAATTGTTCTTTACTAATGCGCGGCACATCGTGTCGCTTTTTAGTGCCCCTTTAACCCTCTAACACGCAATGTACACAATTGTATACACCACTTGTATTGCTATTCATTGGTATCAACAGCAGGTTGACGAAAGAGCAACATATATCGAACTTTGGATGAACTGAATCTCTCGCACAATAGACTTGTATTCATTGGACTTTAATTTTTCGGCGTACTGTTGCACATGGATCACTTTGCCGAAGCCACTACCACAGTGGAAGAGTCGTGCGACGTGCCGCTTCCCGCGATCCACGTCGAAAGTATAATTTTTCTTTGCTCACGCGGGCATAATCGAAAACGAATTTGCACTATATTTCTAGCCTGAGAATACATTCGATTTATGCAAGAACAGTCATGAGTGGTTTCAGAAAAATAGATGTTTAAATTACAAAGTAATTGAGAGTGATCGCTATACCACATGTAATCGCACTTAGTACGGCCTTTTTTTTTTTTGTTCCAATATAATATCGAGGTGATTTGTGAAAGGGTTAAACTCTACTAAAGAAGAAGTAAAAAACTATGGCAGCTTTGCACTAGTGGCAGCCAAGTCTGAAACTGTGTAATTTTTATAGTTTATCTTCTCATATTTCATTTTTTTCTATCACTTTCTTTCTCTCTTTCTTTGACGTGCTGCACTTTGCCGACCAGAGGTTTCGTTTAACACTCGCGCTTGCTGTTCCGGCGGTACTCTTCTTCTCCTCTTCTCATGGCTCTTAACCAAATGCAGAAGATTGGCCGAGTGTTAGGCGATTTTTTTTAGTGTTTTTTCGCATTACTTCTTGTATAAGCTAGGAACACTTAGTATAACAAACTTAATTACGGAATATTGGTATTAAAATGTTTAAAAGGATGAAGCTAGTGGAGTTTGTCAAATTCTTGTGGCGCATACCCACTTGTGGTTTTC